TTCGAATCATAGGATTTCGCTAAAAACTTTTTTCTTATTTTTTGAATATTCCTTGTGCTCAATTTTCGTCACTTCTCGCTTTATTGACATCAAGAATTTAAATAATATGGGGAAAAAAATTTTGGAAGTTAGTTTTTTGTCTTTGCTGCTCTAAATTCTCCAGATATGACGTAAATAAACTTTCATTTTGTTCTCAGCGTTCCTTTTACAGACGGAAGTTAGTTAGCGATTTGATTAACAATAAAAATATATGGGATGGTCCTTGGATTTTTAAATCAAGCTATTATTCCCGAAGCGTAATACTCGAAATCATAGGCATTTAGATAATCATCTAAAATAATACACATTCGGACGCATAGCTTCATAGATGGAAAATAACAATTATTTCATTTTAAACCCTTAATAGCTGCAGCCAGTACCAAATAATGTTATTCATATTAACGAATTTATGTTCCATTAGTGAAAAATCGTTATCCAATAGGAATTCTGATTTTTAAAATTTCTAATTAAATATATTTTCTTAAAATTTCAAATTCAACGGAATTCTTTAAAGATCCCCAAAAAGGATTGGTTGAAAAATTTATCTCAGTAATAATCTAAAATTTAAAATAGAATTTTCTCAAAACTAGAGAGAAAGATTTATTCCATTTAGGAAAATAATGGAGGTAAATATGATGTACTTCATCCTTATACGTTAAAGGCTATTTTCTTGATTTGAAAAATCCAAAAAATATCGAATATATAAATTTTTTGCTATTGCCATCAGTCATATATAGAGTCATTTATTTTTGTGCTTAATACCTTTTGAAAGTTTTTTCATCTTGAATGAATTTGAAATTTTCATCCCAAAACATGACGGAAAAAGTAAAGTAAATACAAAGCAAGCTGGTTAGCACTTGCATTTCTGGTTGGATTCCGTTCACTTGCCATTAGAATGGCTCAGTGGGTTGTTGCTCCATTGGGAGCGCCGAAGCTGAGATTCGATTCGCCACGGAAATAAGCTTGTACAAAAATCCGGGTGATGCTGGCGATTCACCTGTATTTCTATCGTTAAGGGACTCCCCTGGTATATTACTCAATGCGACAAGCCAGTGGAGCGAGTTTAACCAGTAATGGTGAGAACTCTAAAGAAAAAAAATTTGCCATTAGAATAATGAAAAAATTTTGCCAATTATTTGGGGATATAAATAGAGGTTGATGCTAGTGACTCAGATTTTTTAATGATAAGTTTGTCTCTCTCAGTGATAGATTCCAAAGTACTTGATGCTTGAAATAATTCAGATAATATTCGGCGATATTGTCCTTTAGAATCATAAAGCATGAAATCTTCAATTAAAATAGATAATATCAAAAAAATGGAAAAACGGGAGAACCGGTCTTCTATGGTTATCGTTTTTCCATGGTTATAATCCGCTCATATGCTGTAATCATAATTTCAACTAGAATTCATTGAAGATTTCCTGTTTTCTGTAGAATTCGGTCGTCATTTATTTTAAGTAATTAACGTAAGTAAGTAAAAATAAATTTTTTTATCTAGGGAGATTGCTTCATCATAAAGTTAAATGCATGTGATGATTGATATCGTTTCTCAAAATTTTCCAAATCATTGGAAGAGAAAGTCATTTCTTCCACTTTTCTTTCCGATTTCACTTTTCAATCACATTTCAAAATTTCAAATCTTTAAAAACCACTCATCTTTAACATAATCTTCAAAAATTAATCTTTTCACAAATTAATCTTTTAATTTTATTTATACAAATATTGCGGTTATCACCAGGATGCTGGCTATATCATAGTGGCATCTCGGATAAATCTGGACGAAACTGCGTAGCGATTGTTATGTTTGAAAAAGCTCGATCTTCTCTAATTGGATGGAAGTCGTAAGCGACCATATGGCCTGCGGCTGCTTCTAGGAGAAGTCTTGCAATGCCTCGGCCATCAGTATATATAATCCTATGCGCAGGTGATCGTGATAGAAATAGCATCTTTCCCCAAATGTGAACATTATGATACTGCCATAGTGAGCTCCATTTGCAAATATGGCATCGGCGTCTTGTACTCGAATGGAGAGCACTTTGCCGAAAAGGATGAACCACTTACTATCAATGCATGCTTTTGGCACGGACAAGTTACATCACATGGAACTTACCGAATAGCCTAACCACATTGATTATGGATTATGGTTAACCATCATTGGAAGAGTCCTACATTATATTATATTAATTATAATCAGATTATATTAATATAATATAATATAATATAATATAATATAAATATTCAACTATGATGATAGACTGGATAATGGGGCATCGTTTGTCGGCATACAAGAGGTGTACAAATCAGTCCAGAGCGTAATATCACAGATCTTGAGTACGCTAACTATTTAGCCTCTGACAGTTATGAAATGCAAATAATGTAGAAAAGTACAGCGAAATATATGAATATCATACTCATAATTATTATAATATCATACTCACAATATTCACAATAATAATTATTAATCATACTCATGATTATTATAAATAAAATGAAAGCTTTTTCGGTCTATACACCAGAATATTATCATTTCACCACCAATTGAGGAAGTGCCAGACTTAGAATTCTTTTACCCACTCTAATCCCAAACGGCCAAGCGAAAACCGCCCTTCGACAAGAATAAACCCATCATTTAAAAAACTTAGTGGTACCAACGACTCATCTACACTTCTATTGCCTATCGTCAAGTGATTATCTGGCAAAAATTTCTAACCATATTAACATTCAATCACGCATTTTATTTTGCTTTAAAGCATCATAAATTTGCAATTCCTATATTTTAAAAATATTTTTGCAAAAGAAAAACTGAGACTATGCAAAAATTATTTTTTTAAAAAATGCTAGTAACCAATGCATAAATGCAAGAAAATTGTCGAACATTGGTTAAAAAGTTGGATCATTCAAACGAGTAGGCTATAGGGACGACTGACAAAACCAGTCTGCTTGGACAATGTCAACTGCAATATATAGCAAATTTATAAACCAACGATGGATGAATAGACAGTGAGACTACCATATTTCAAAAATCTATAAATTTTTCCCAAAGAAATGCTTATTTTTTGCGCTAAAATAGTAGTAAAAGGTGGTAAAAAAATTAAAAAAGGTGTGGCTTCTCATTGCAATATTTCGAATTCATCGCGTTTATTTTCACATTTCAATGAATGCGGAAAATTTTTATTCGCTACTTGTTACTGATTTTTATTAATTATATTTTATAATTTTTAAATTCATTTTTGAGCCAATTTTTAACTTTTGATTTTAATTTCAATAATAGTCAAAACCACTAAAAAATGTATTTTGATTGAAAGGAGAACTTTCTTTATGATTTATACATTTATTAAATGCAAAAGTTTTTGCTACCACTGAAAAATCTTTGAAAAGCGCGTTTCCCAAGTGAAATTCTCCCTGGTAGAAATTTAGAAGCCTGCTAATCGCTTATTTCGTCTATGATCGCTTATTCTAAGTATCCCAGGAATTATTATTCAAAGCATGTGTGATGGAGGCCAATCAATTTGATCAAGCTATAAGATCGCCGTCAAAATTGGCATCTTTTTTTTTATTCATGTAGTGAATTTAAATTTGAAGATTTCCACTGACAATTCGGTTCATTTCATGGATAATCTATTCCGATTTATTTCCTTCCCCACCTACTTTCTCCCATTAATTTTATATTCATTCATACATGCTCAATTTTATCAATTTGCTCAAAAAACAATGTCATTATTTGTTTTATTCTTCAAGTGAATTCTTATTTATCCTTAATTTAACAAAATCTATTTGAATTTTTGAGCAATTTAAAAATCAGTTTTTGAAATTCTTCCCTACTTTCTTGCAAAAAGAGCTAAAGATTGACCAGAATAACCAATAAAATTATATAGACATATATATATATTGGTTCTCAAGGGAATATATATATATATATATATATATATATGCCATTCTTTTCTTTATTCATATTCGGCTTACTTTAATGCTAATAAATGAGGCGATGTTTTCTATAGTTTTCGATATTTCTCTTAAAAATTTGAAGATTTCGAATGATATTTAAAAAATTTTCTTAGCCATAAGGATTACTTTTTTTCATAAAATCTGTAAACTACCAGAATCATCACAGTTAGATTCGGAAAATTTTCCTCGTATTATGCATTTCTCCATGTTATATATGGGCTGAGTGGATTAAACAAGGAACGACGCGCTAATCACAAATATGATGGAATTGTGCAAACGATCAGATACGCCTAATTGTACAATCTAATTTCTTTTCTGAATGTAATTTTAATTTTATTAGGTGATTATAAATTCAAAACTTTTGCCTAATTTTTTAAAAATTCTTTAGTTAAATTTAAAATAAATGCCAACTGATAATTAACTTCACTTTTGAAATCAGAAAGTTGAAGAGAAATTTTTTTTGAAAATTTTCCTGCAAATTTCTTCCAAAATTTGTTGCTTTCATTTATGCTTGGTTTCTTCTGATTTCTTTTCGAAAAAAATTGCTCGCTAACTATAAATTTTATTTTATAAAAGCGATTCAACGATTCAGTAATAATTGTAATAATTTGCTTAATAATTTCCAACAAAATATCGCAATGTTTTGACTTTCGTTTTGTTTGCAGAAATTTCTTGAAATTTGATTCTCATTGGTGACATATAATGAAAATAGGAAATTCTGCGTGTTGAATTAAAAGAATGTTGGATCAATAGTTTTCCACTGGAAAGAATGATTTTAAATGATTTAAAAGAATCCTAACAATTTCTAAATAACCTTCCGAACCTACAAATTTAATTTTAATTTTTTAATAAAAGCGTTTTTTCTTGAATTTATGGAACATTATCTCAGAATTTTAAGAAAGAACTACTTCGCATTGCACTTTGTTCTTTTTTCCAGATTTTATCGTTATTCCACTGAATCGATGTTGAATCCATCAGTTTTTTTCTTATTTCTACTAATTAAACGTGTCTTTGCTATGCCAAAAATACCAATTCTAACCGAGGGTATTGAACATATTATTCAGTTAACTCCACAACATCCTACCCGGTACTTTTCAATCAACTTTAACAGAATAATTACACTTCCTTTTGCAAAAATAAGTTTTTGAAACAAATCACATCATTTTTTTCCTTTTTTTTCAATAATTTGAAACCTTTATTTTTTTTTCTTTCATACTTTACAACAATCATTGATCAATAAGATTTTTTCATAAAATTTTTCCAATACTTGTTATTGTTGAATACTTCTTTCTATTTTCGTAAAAAGAAAATTTTAAATTATTTATATTTATATAATTTTTATTTATATTTATATAATAATTTTAAATTATTTACATTTATATTTGAGATTAAATTGTTTTCCAAATTTATAACTCATTTAATTCATGGAAACGAGAGATATATTTCATCGTTCCTTCATAAAAATTAGTGAGTCTTAAGAGGTGAGCCTTGAACCTCGTCGACAATAATGGTTAATTTAAAACAGAATGCGTCAAAAATATGCTGAAAAACAGAAATTTGCACGCAGCACTCATTATATCTTCTATTTATTGAATTATATCACTAAATGAGTAGCAAACGATTGGCAGTTTCTTGCACGGCCATTACAGAACTGCTATTTGTTGTTGTACGCTGCATTAATTAGGAAGTGAATTTTAAATGCGATTAAATTCTTTTTATGGGAGAAAAATTTAGAGATTTGGTAATTTAGGAATTTGGCAGATTTTGACTTAATCATAGATTTTGACAATTGGTAATTTTCAAATAAAACAAATGAAATGTTTATAATGTTTGAAGTGAAATTTGAGCTGATAATTGATTTATAAAACGGAAATTCAGAAATGAGCGAAAGAAAATTTTTTTCTACTCACCTCAAGCTGCATTTGAGATAGGGCTTTTTAAGGCTCGATAGAATAATTCATATAATAATTCTTTAATCTGGTTTGACTTAAATAACTCCGTAACTGCAATAAGACTGTAGTGATTATAGATGAAGGCAGTCAATCAACATTTATTTATGCGTTTATTTTTAGACTAAAATTCGATATACCAGAAGGAATTCCATTATGGATTTATATAACTCCATGTGGTGGAAACGTTCACTGGCAGCTATTTCATTTACCAAGTTCACATAACAATGGTAATTTATTTAATTATAAATTTATAAAATTATTGGGGATAGAATAGTTCAGTGGCTTGTTGCTCAATTTGGAGCAGCCGATGCTGAGGTCCGATTCCCCGCAGGGGTAAACCCGTACAAAAATCCGGGTGATGCGACTCATCTGTATTTCTATCGCTAAGGGACTCCCTGGCATATTGCTCAATTGCGACAAGCCAGTGGAGCCAGTTTAACCAGTAATGGTGAGAACTCTTCAAAAAAAATTATAAATTTATTAAAATGAATGAGTAAATTTTTTTTTTCACAATGATCTTATTTATAATGAGAAACAATTGCAATTTTTGTAAAATCAGAATTTTTTATAAAATTAGAATAATGAATAAGATTTTCGAATTTTGTTGAAATTTTTGGTTGCTTCTTAATTTGGTTCAAAATTCATTAAATTTTTCGTTGTTCATGAGAAGTTCATTTTACTTATTCTTTTTTAAAAAATTAATTAATTAATTAATTTTAAAATTAATTTTTAAGCTGATTGGTGCAAATCCATTTCTAACAATATCAGCATTTCTGGTTTGGCTGTTGCCCCAGTGTTTACTATGATGAGATTTTTGAACTAAAGAATCACTTAAAAATAAAAATATAGGTGAATCGCTAGTTCCAACATGGTTTCACTGTTGATAATAAGGCTATTTTCGTCTTATAAGATGCATGAGTCGAACCCACAATGCTTGATTTCAATCGGAGCAGCTCGAAAATCCTGCTGATTGTTTTACATTTTCTTTTTTCGAGATGCAATTTTTTTGACTCTAATCCATGGCTTAACAATATCTAAGAAGAAAAAGGAAAATCCCATATCCTATTTTTGCTTTTCGATAATTATTTCAGACAAGGCGAATGCGTTATATAGTAATATTTCGAATAAAATTATGTTACCAATGATATATGAATTTATTGATGCCAATTTCAATTCACGAATGAAATTGTTGGGTGGCGAAGACGATGAAAAACGAATGGCTTTTTATTCAGAAAAAGTCAATCCAGGTAAAACAGTTTTAGTTCTTTAATTACTATAAATTGCTTACTATTGTCGCTTTCGCTGATAAATTTATTTTTTGACAATAGAAAAAGAAAAAATTGAAAATAAAAAATATGAATCTTATGTAGTTCAACATCGAATAAAAGCTTTAGGAAAATCTGGTCATAAAATATTATTTTAAAAAATATAATTTTTTAATCTTTCTAATTTCCTTATTTCGTAGAAAAAAAATTCAAAAATAAAGAAATTAATCGAAAATTTTTTACAATTTTTTTCGAACTTAAATGTAATTATATTCTTGAAATTCCTTTGAAAAGCAGTTGTTTCATTAGCGATAAATTTCTTCGGAATATTTTGTTGCTTTGCATTGTTGATTTTCTCAATATTATTTGAAAAGTACACATTTGATCGAGTTTTTTTCGTTTTAGCCTTTGTCTGACTTGCAGTGTTTTTTGTTTTAAACCACTAACCACTAATTAAACAAGTACAACTCGTTAAGCTTATTTTCTTCGCTCAATTTAATTCGTTTTTGAATCACAAATCAGAATCAGAAAATTGTCTAGATTATTGTATCATTTAAGTCTCACGTAAATTTCCAAAATGTAAGGAAATTTATATTGAAACAAACAATACATATAAATTATATTATATATATGTATAAAGAATCTCTTCAGATGAATAGATCTCTTTATTTTAAATTGGGAGGTATTGACTGTAATAATGGTTATTTATTGGAAATATTTGATCGTATGGCCTTCCACAGAACATTAAAACTATTTTTTAATGATTTTCTTCTTCTGATAGCATTTATTTGACTGGCTTCAAGGAATGCTAGCGTGGAATCCTATCGTAGACAATCATTTGAGAAAGACAAAAATGCCACCAGGATTTCACTTTGGATATCCATCCGAGTTCAACAACAGAAACTCAACTTAATTGATGGCTTTTCCTCAATCGAAACAATATACCACTTGACTCCTTCCCTCATCATTTAAATCGATGCTATTTCTTTCGATTTCAAGTAACACAGTTACAGAATTATTTTTCTTTATCATATTTCCTGAAAAAATTCTACAAAACGATGTTATAGGAATGGTGATGCTTTTACTTAAATCGAACGTGTTCAGTACCGCTCGTATATTCATTACTACAAAAAAATGGCTTCTTGACGATCATTACCCACCAATGCCAACAAATACAGGCATTTCTTACGATATTATAAAATCTCATCATAGCGAATTTAATGATGGAATGATGGTGCGCGTTAAATGGGATATTCCACGAAAAATACGCGAACTTAAGCCAAATTCGCAAATAAATCGGTATCGATTCTGTGCTGTGGTTAGCCGAAGACAACCGGATTGGACGATTTGTGATGAACTCGGTGAAAATCTTGAAAGTATTCATTGTGTCAACCAGTCAGTGAATACACTGGAAATTGACAATATGAGAGTGGGTAGTTCATTTGGTTGAAAATAAGAGAATTAGAATTTCGCATCACCGCATTTGATTCTCACATTCATTTTAGGCAGGTCGAAAATATTTCATAACTATATTTTTCCGAGATGCTGTAAGTGGAGGAACAACTGCATTACGACCAGCTGAAATTTTATTGCCTGAAATCGGCAATCACAAAGATAAAGCAAGGATAGACAAATCAGAAAAGTTTAAAGTTATTGTAAGTGGTTTCTATTAAAGCAGGGGTTCTTTTACCTGAAATCAGTGAACTTAGAAATAAGGAAGACCTTGTTCATAGAAAATCTTTCTCTTCGTACTCAGCGAAGTTTTGTGCTTCACTCGATTATAAAAGTAGAAACTTATTATAAGTAAATGAACACTGGTATGAGCATCTGTGAATTTGTCACCCATCGAAATTATGTTTATTTTCATATTTTATTGTTTTCCATCGTAATTCTGAAAATTCAAAAATGTTATTCCAGTGAAAACAACCATAGATGAATGGGCCAGTAAAGTTACATTAAATTAACCAAAGATCATATGAACAAATTATTTTGAACCGATAACTTTGTTTATCCCAGTGCTTATTCAAAAAATGGACCAATAATAATTTATATTTTATATAATTTATGTTTAAAGAAAAGAATAATTTATATTTTATAAGCAATGAACACGCAATACAAAATCAAATTTTTTAAGGTGCACAAATTAAGCGATGCTCGATTACAAGCTGGCAAACTTACTGGTCTCAAGGGAGCGATTAAAAATTTTGATTTTGATGTACATAGCTATAGCAATAAATCGCAGAAGGTATATATTTTGGCAGTGCCATTCGTACAATTAATAATTATACGGCCATCTTCGATTTGAAAAAGAAATTCTTCAATCGTTAGGGGATTAAATGATTTCATAATCTGTAAAATGACAAAAATATAAAAAATAATGAATTAATTAATAAAGTAATGAAGTAATGAATTTCTAAAAAAAAATGTGAATCACTCACATAGGAATATCTCGATCTTTTGGTCCGTGCATGCTATATATACGAGAGGCGCAACTTCTCAAATTAAGATCATTAATTGGCTAATTATACTTTAATGGATAATACTAGATAATATTTTCTATGGAATTTTTACTAGATATCTTAATACAATGTTTGATATTTTAATAATCAGCAGTAGTTTCCAATTTCAATTAGAGTGCTAAATCAGTTCTATCTGGAAAATTAGGATACAGATGCATATATTTATTAGTTTTAGGTGCTTCTTGTATTGCACGCATGTGATGGTTACATTCGTGTAGCAATCTATCGCAATGGAAGACTGCTGCGACGATCGGATCCATTCAGCGGCTTTAGAAGATTTTTAGTAATGAATGCTCTTTCGGGGCATCTTACCTTCCAAATCATCAATGATGATTCAAAACCAAAAGTCTTCCGATTATGGGCAAGTGTGAATCCAGAGAAAAGCCCATATCCACAGCTGCCCGACAATACAAGGTTTGGTCAACTAAATTATTTAGAAGGTTGCTTAATGGCTTTATCTAACTCTTGAGACAACTGACTGGTTGGACAACTTATGAGGAATAAAAATTTATTCATGATTTTCATGATTTAACAAAATTTGAAAAATTTATTTTAATTGAGAGTTGGCATTCTCCTTACTCTTTCCCCCCCCCCCCCCCATCCCACCCTAATATCCAAAAGAGTGCGTGAATCTATAATTGAAATTTTTCAGCATCAAGGAGGTGCGACGAAGTTGCTCATCCACAACACTGCAATGGCTGAAAGCTGCTGACACCAAAATAAGATATTGTTTATATAAACGAAAAGAAACTGTTCACTATTTGGAAGAATTAGTCAGCAAACATATGAATTTATGCTCTGGTAAAATGCCTCAAAGAGATTTAGTTGGTTGCCATGTTAGTTTCGATAAGCTTAGTCTGAAACAATCGCTTACGCCAGATTTCATCAAAACCTATGTGAATAGTGCAAATGAATATAGTGATGAGGATTCTGAGGGTATTATTGAAAGAACAGTGGATGATCTTGAGCCAGATACTACCTATCGATTTGATTTACTCGCACAACCGTTGCGAGTCAACAGTCAAGAATTACCGTATCGAACAGTTTGGGTAAAAACTCGGGCTTTCTGCTGATTTCTTAGCATTCATTTCCTGTGCGGGTCCTTAGCATTCATTTCTTGTGCATTTCAATTTTCATTAGGAAGTATTATATTATATTTCATCAAAAATATAATTAAAAATTGATTCTGGAAGACTTGTGCGGTGATTTAGATATGAATTTAGTATAATGTAAATATTACAATAATTTTGCAAGGAAATTTGGTTCTTTGTCTGTAATTTAACTTTTTTGGAGATTTCGACTTTTGTACATAATCATCATGGTATTTCTTTAATTAAATATTTACAATGCACATGGTCAGTCACAAAATAATTAATATTAATTATATTATATTATTGTACAGCATGATTTTCACTGCATATATTTAATTATATATTTAATTATCAATAATTATAAATGCCAACAAAGATAATTTTATAATTTTATGTCAAAAGATCTCTTTAATTATTTTGATTTTCCTTCCATGAAAAATAAAAAAATTACTAAAAATTACTTTCACTCATGATATCGGTTTATAATATAAAATAGAAGCCATTGTAATATCAATTGCCACAGTTTTCCAAAGGTTCTTACCTTAAACTATTTATTTTAGCAATTTTAAGTAGTTTCTAACTATACATCATAGTTTTTTTTTGTCAACTAATTTGAGTATTGTTGTTTCGGTCATTTTCGCTGGTTTTGTATTGTAATTCATATGGTGCTTTTGTTGCTCGAAGTAATAAAAAAATTTATTGATACTCTGAAACTTCTAAAAAGCAAAATACAGCGAAAATCCAAGCAATAATATTTGTCAAACAAATGTTTCCTAAATTAATTTTATTTGAATTTATTACTTAAAAACCGAATAAAAATTCTTTCTCAACACAGAATCTTTTGGTTTTTTAAGCAGCGAAAATTCTCAATATTCGCCAATGCATAATAATATATTATTTTTCGTAATACTATCTAAATTCAATTATTTAAAACGAAAAGCAAATCAAATTATCTCGTTTTGGCCTTTTGTATCGCCTTTTGGTTTTTAATTTAACTTTTTTACTTTTCATTGGATTTATTTTGTTTGACTTATAAAATATTTTTACTTGGATAAATCCTTTTCTCTCCCCTAAATTACAATATATTCATTTATTAATTAATTGATGTGATTTGTGATTCAATACGAGTAATTCTTTCTTTAACAGCTCGCATCGTTCTTAGTTTGCTTGGCTCTAACCGTGAGTTATTACAGTAAGACGCTTTTAATCAAACCCACACAAACCCACTGAACGATTCAACTCTACTTTTCTTTTCCCTGCTAGGCCCGACAGAGAACCATCGGAATTATGGCCCGAGCCTCGATTCTCGATGGTAATTATCTTGCCATGAGCCACTAACACAACTGCGAAAAATTGCACCAAAGCTTTTGGGAAATCCCATGCTGATAACAACTCTACCACCGTTTGTCGCAGCTTAATAACATCCCATGCGACAGGTTATTCCATCAAATCTATTATTTCTCAGGCAAATCATAAAACGACAACTGTATAAACGCGTTTCGCTAAATTTTAGAAAATCCATTAATGCAACTTTGGCATCGAATTGGTTTATTAAAAATTCAAAATCACCTTTATTTTAAAAAATCTCTTCAACAAAAAAAGAAATAAAAATTAACTTTAAGAGATTCGAATGAAAATGCTCATTTAGATATGCAAATGACTATAACGACATTAATGAATTAAGTAACATATAAATATATATATATATATATATTACATATCAACAAAATTTAAAAAAATGTGAAAAATTCATTCTCATTACTTATGTTTCAATAATGGTATAAAATACAATAAAAATGATTAATCTACACTGCATTTATAGTAATGTAAAGAAGTAATTTATGTAATGTAAAGAAATTAGCTTATCATTGAAGATTAGCAATATCATTCTTGATCAATAAATCTTATTAATTGCTAATCATTACATATGTTTTATACCATTAATATTTATTTTCATAATCTAATAAATGATCACTAGTTTTTTCTCAAATTTATCAAATATTTCATATTTCAGAAATAATATTTCCTGAAATAATGAATATAAAATATAATGTGCAACATCAAGTACGAAAAGACACAAAATAAAAAACTTAACAAACATGTATAAATGTAAGTAAAAATGGTAGTATAGGAAATAATTAAGCCATAAAAGTAACACCAGCGTACAAAATAAAATATTCCGCATGGAAAAAAAATTTGAAAATAAAATCGCTAAATGGATGTATCAAATATGCACTTCACGATAAATATGAAAAAAATAGAAACTTCTAAAAGAATCAAAGGAACGAAAAATTATAGAATTATAGAAATCAAATCAAATTTTAGGAAAACAACCTATAAACACTACTGTAATCGCCAACGTTAAAAGCATCAGTCGTTTCCTAATATGACTTATTAAATCAAAAAAATAACTTCAATGATATATAAATGTTTATGCATCAACTTAAACTGGAAACACAGTAGTCTGCAGAGATTATAAAAAAAATAAACAAACGATTAACATTTCATATGATTGAACAACAACATTTGGACGATCCAGTAGGGCGTTTGCCAGGATCCGGATAACGGCGATTGATTTGTCGAACAAGATCAAAAAACACCTGCGAAAATATTTTTCTATTTAATTTGTAAAAATCTGTATATTTAAAGTAATATAAAAAGACTTTCCATTTTTCAGTTCAAAGATTTTTGCAGCTATTTATTCAATTATTTTTAATAAAAAAAAAGTATGAAAAGTAATTCACAGAAAATATCTTACCTCATTAACATTAATTTTTGCTTTAGCCGATGTTTCAAGAAAAGCACTATTAAACGATCGAGCAAGATTATGCCCTTGATCTTTACCAACAACACGTTCATCTTCCAAATCACACTTATTACCAACTAATATCATCGGAACCTGAATAAAGTTTGATATTCGAATAAAGAATCAAAATCTATTCGAATAAAAAAAATTAAAAATAAGTGGAAATTAAATAAGTGAATTAAATTAAATTAAATAAATAATTATAATTAAATTAAATAAGTGAAAATTTAATAAATTTAATTTGAATTTATTTACCAGGTGGCTGCTGGGGACCCACCTGTATCTCTATCCCCCAAATGACTCTATGGTGAAGTGGTCAAGTTCAAGCCTCTTTGATGGATGGTGTCAAAAGCGAGGTGGGCCAATCAAGACCTGGATTGACCAGTCAGGAAAGATTTTGAACGTATAGGTAGACCAGCAATATGGACTTAGACGATGGAAAAGGAAATGGCTTCTATTACTACTAGTTATGGTGCCGCATCGAGCAGCTTGGAGTCATGAGGGTTATCTTTGTAGCCAGCAGGGCAAGCCTAATCAGTAATGGTGAGAGTTGTTAGAAGAAGAAGAAATTTAATTATTCAGCTTAACTGAAAAATTAACTAAGTTATCCAGATTAACTGGAACGAATCAATGAAAGGAATATTTACTTCTTCAGCATCTTTAACTCTTAAAATTTGTTCCCTAAGATCCATCAGATCATTAAAAGTTGATTGTGCGGTTATTGAATAGACTAATACAAATCCTTGGCCATTTTTCATATATAAATCTCGCATTGCAGTGAACTGCTCCTTTAAAAAATTCCATATTTATTAAAAATTTAGTTTGTTAAAAGAAGAAAAGGAAGAAAATACAATTAGTTCATATGCACAATTTATCTAAACTGTAAACAGTAGTTGAATAAAAATATTTATCGAAAAATAAATAAACATTTAAAAATAAATGTTTATCGAACTCATAATTTTAAGAGACCAGAGATCATAATTTTAAATAAAATTTAAAAATTTGGTTATGACTTCTCAATTTCATGAAGAGCCAAATATAGATTGTTAAATCGAATTTCACTAACTAATAAATCAAAACAAAAAGAAAAACAAACTGTTCCAGCTGTATCTAAGATTTCAAGCATACACTGCTGTCCATCCACATCAACTTGTTTTCGATAACTATCTTCAATTGTTGGATCATATTTTTCCACAAATATCCCTTGCACAAACTGCACAGTCTAAAAAATTCATAAATGCGTCCACTCATAATCTAAATTCGTTAAAAATAATCTATAGAAAAAACTTTTCCTAACAACCAACTGAAAATATACACAAATATGCATTGCTTCCCACAGAAATAAGATGCGCTAAAATCTAGAGAAAAAAATGCACATCAAAAGCAGATTTAAACTTATTAAGCTCAATATAATAAGCATCTCCATTTTTCGAATTCTTGATTAATTTAATCATTTCCAAGAAAAAAAACAATAAATTTGAAAAAACATTTACCAAGGCACTTTTCCCAACACCACCACTTCCAAGTACAACAATTTTATATTCTCGCATCTCTTGATTTCAAATCTTCCGATGGTCCCTTAAAATACGCAAGTCCGATATTTATTTCAAGCTGAAAGAATATCACTAAATATTTACGAAGATGTTTTGCATAAAAATCTACATAACGTCGATATAATATGAAATTAATTCTTCGCAAATGAATAATAACAACAATACCCATAATTAAATATCTAAGAAAATGCAGGAAATAAGAAAAATTAATAAAAATCAAAAAGCAATAAGGAAAAAAATTAGAAATATAAGAGGACAGTTTTTTTCATCGTTTCAATCATTTTCATTTTCGTGTAATTTTTTTGAAAAAAACACTTAAAACTCTCCGAAAAAAATCGAATAAAGCGAATGAACAATTCAAAAAATTTTTTTTGAAAGTTTTTTAAAATTAATTTTTTAAAAATAAATAATAAAGAAATTAACGAATTATACTACAATATAAAAAAATTGACGTCTACATCCATCCATCTATTCATCCATCTACCTATCCATCTACCCATTAGTTCATCCATCCATTCATCCATCTACCTATCCATTTATCCGTTCACCTCCAAATCCATAAATCTATTCAAGGAAAAAAAAGATCGAAAAAGTTCTTCATTCTGCAATCGAATGAATAAACGAATTTATTATCAATAAGAAGAGAACCAGAAGAACAAGAACAAAAAAAAACATCTGCGAACATTATCATAATAATCATCATAATTATAAATTCTCAACTATCTATCAAATATCATTCACTATTATTTAACAATTTAATTTTAAAACGTGTCACTTAAAAAATTTAACTTCGAGATTAAATCTCTAAAATTATTCTAAGATTAAATCAATTATATTGAATATAAAACTAAAAAAGTAAAAGACACAAATTCATTTATAATTTGATTTGATTAAATTGATTTGAAACGAGTAACTGAGAGAAAAAAAGGAATGCCAAAGATCCTTTAAGAAATTTATTAAATTTAAGGAAATTGAAAGAAATTCAGATAACTTTTCTTCAATAATCAAAAAAATTTCCTTCAACATTACGCAAAAAATAATACATTTTGAAATGAATTTGAATTTAAAAAATTATTTAGTTTTAAAAACACCAAATAAATAGCAATTCAATGGCAATCAAAATTTGTTAAAACAAAAACAAATTTTTTTTCAAAAAAAGAACATTTTTACGATATGAAATATTCGATCCAATATACTTTTGATGAATACAATTTCATTTATCATAATAAAACAGTCACTTTTTTTTAAATTAAGATTCAAATAATAATATAATAAATATAATAAAAATAAAAATAGAAAGCACTGAATTTTGAGATTAAAAAAGAAAACTTTTCTTCGATTCCATCCGGTTTATTTCCATAAATAATAATTTACTCTAACTGCGAGTAGTTTTTAGTATTGTTAAAGAAATAAAAAATTATTTATAGATTCAGCAAACATCACGAAATTCATCAAAAAAGTATAACAACTTACAAAATGATTCATTTTTGAATTTTAATATTTAACAATTAAATTAGAAAAACTAATTTTTATCCAATATAATTTAATGAAGCGAACGAGCAATATGCTGATTCCAAAAAAAAGACGACTATAAATATTAAAAATTATTAGATATATTGATCATTTATAATCGGAAAAAAAATTATTTTAAACAAGAAAATAAGAAAAAAAAGAATGGAATAAATATAAGAAAATAGAAATAAAGAAAAGTGACCAAAATTTCGTAATGAAGATTTGAATAAATAAATTTATCATTTTCCTTTATTTTTCTCACATTTTAAGAAAAGGAATTTTTTCTTAGAATATTTCTAATGTGACTGAATAAAAAATAAAATTTTGATGTAAGCCAGATTTTTTTTTTGATTGCAGCAATAAAATATATCGAAGGAGATAAAATAGAACTTAAAAATGAAAAGAAAATCTTTTGAAAATTTCATTAAAAAAAATTTTCAAAAGATTAAAAAAGGATTTGGTTGAATCGGTACATATTTCTTAAAATAAATAAGGACAGGTAAAAAATGATTAATGAAAACTGGTGCAAATAAAATTCGCTTGAATAAATTGTTTCTGCTTAATACAACCAATGTCATTTCTTTGTACGACTCGGTGATTATTATATTATTTTTTATAATGGATTTATGAAAATTTAAAGCGAATTTGAATTTCACTTACCGTCATGAAATCCTCTGGATACCAAAATTTAATTTAAAAGAACATTGATTACAATGAAAAATCTTTAAAAATTTTTTTTCATTTTTGATTAATAGAGGAATGACTTACTCTGAATTGATTTCTAAATAAAATGGCTAGCCAGTCTATTTCGTCGAAGTTTAAAATTTATTTTAACAGCCTCGAAAAAAATTTCGATTCTATGAAATTTCCTGAAATACGGGAAAAATTAAAAGCATATTTTCTTTGTTATTTATTACCAACATATATCATTTTCACTGAACGATGAGAAAATTTTTTTCTCGACGACCATTCGTCCTTAATTGCAAAAATGAATGAAATGTCAACTACAAAAAATATTAAAATTCGGATGGTTGAAGCTATTCAAAAAATTTCAAAAAAATATATTAAACGAATAAAAACCATACATTGTATTAGATGAAAAAAATAACGAAAATACAACAAATTACACTTAAAAAAATATGACAATAATCATAATAAGTTAAATAAATAATAAAAAATTATGCAAAATTATTAATACGTAAGGGATTAAAACCCTTAGTAATATTAACGCATTTTAAAATAAAATATATTTATCTCTTAGTTTTTACATGAGGAGATAAACAAAAACAGACACAATGCATAAAAAAAGTTTCAAAATCTTCGATATTCCTACTGTACGAATAACAGCCAGTGACAGCAAAATAAAAAAGTAATTAAATAGTAGACGATGATTTTATTAACAGTTGAAGTTTCACATTTCTCTGCTTAACAAAAGTTCATCTCCTTTACATACAACAGTAAGTATGTATAAAGTTCAATAATGAAGAAAATATAATTTTAATGACAATTTGGAACAAAAATTTTGATTTATAGATTAAAAATATCATATCTGATATATATATTTATATATATACATTTGATGTGAAAATTTACTAGCAAAGCCCAAAAATGTTATAAATTATAAATGATTATAGCTTATGAAGACTGAAAGTTTAAAAAAAAACATTTGTTTTCCTCATCATGTATAACGCTTATATTCACAAAACAGAAGTAATAAGCTGATTGGAACATCAATAGTCATTAAAATAAAACTAAAGAGAATAGGCAAAAAATATAAACACTTATTTGATTCAATTACCACCATTAAAGAATTTTTCAGTCACTTATTGAAAGCTCACTGAATATAATGAAATGAAAAAAGTGTTATAAAGTATATTGGAAGCAGTGAAATGAAATAAATAAAATGGTGGAATTTGGAAATCAATATTGCTTCTATTGTTTTTCGGATCCCGTTTCTGGCACATTCGGATTTTGAAGAGGCAAGTATTCGTTTATATGAAAATCACTAGCATATAATGCACCTCCAACAAGAAAACAAATCGTAAAAAAATGGCAAGCAATTCTACTACGCATATAAAACTGAGCGAGCTGTCTTTGTTGCCTTAATGTTGCACGACACATTCCCACAACACATGCAGAAGTGGCCAACAATCCTGGAGAATAACAAAAAATAAAATACCAATATGACGTTGATAAAAAAATACACAAAAATACACAATACACAAAAATACACAAAAATAAAAAAAGCGCCTGAAGTGAATATGAAAAGTTTCAGACCAAAGTGCAAAGCCAAAACTCTGACTTTCTTATATTATAATTTTATTTCGAGAGAAAAAATCGTAAAACTGCGTAAATTTGTATCAATCATGGTAGTTAAGATAATTATTGAAAAGATCAAGTTCTGGACTTCCGGAATGCAGACCTGCTATTAAAAAATCCAGACAGTGATCGCCAATATTCTTTCTTACCTCCCTCGCAAAAACTCCATGCTAAGAGTCAGTGGAGTGGGCCTAACCAGAAATGGGACCCTTCTTTATTCAATAATTAAGCTAGTAATAATTTCGAGAAAAAATCCTAACATATGTGACAGGAAAGTGATATCAAGTAACTACTCGAATCCTTAATTTTATGAAGAATAAAAATAAAAAGTAAAGCAAATAAATATAGAAAGGAGAATAACCGAAAGGTACAAATGGATTGGCGGTAGCTTTAGCAATAAGTCTCTCAGTATAATTCAGTTTAGAATGATTTAATTCTTCATCACAACCAGTGGGCAGAAATGATTTTTTTGCTGTCGTATTAATTTTGGTTGATTTTATCTTCCACAGCATTTTTTCTCGTTCCCACTTTGATAATGTATTCATGTCTGCCATTGCCATTCCTCTTGAAGAATTTTTTTATTAATTAAACGAATCCATAGGATTCTTTCCATACATAAATTTCATAAAATGGATGAATTTATTCATTTCATTCATTTATTCATTTTATATCTCAAATGTGATAACGATGACTTACAGGTGAGAACCACGATTTCCTTTTTTAAAAAAGGTTTAATATTTACAGAAATAAATCTACATACTTATATAGAATTTAGATCTTTCTGTTTAAGCCATCAATGAATGCAATTAGTGCGGTGGAAAAAGAAAAAATAAATAAGACACCCATCGAAGAGGACCCATGGCTACACCAGAATCCCCAAAGGGAACCGAAGCCTCTATTGAAAAGACCAACCACTCCAATCTTTTATCACTGGACTCACCAGCATTGAAAACAAACATTCATAAGACCACTTGAAACAACAAACCTCTCACATAAATAATGCGATGCAGCTCAAAAACTTAAATAGCACCGCTGATAAAAGCAATCGTGCTGAGAGTCAATTTATTTAAATGATTCTCACTTTTCATTTCAGAATTAATTCGATAAGTGGCTTAGTATCGAATGTGAGAGTTGTCTGAAAATTTTTCTCCGCTCGTCTGAGATTTCTTTTTAATTATTCGGAATTATTAAAGTCGTTATTCGCCGACAAGTGAGTGGTTAGCGTCTATTATTTCCGCTTGGGCTCAGCTGGGAAACTGTTAGAAACTTTTGCAAGCGGCCATTCGGAAGACAAGTGGGTCGACGTCTTCCGAAGGCGCCTACTGGGATTAGAAATTATCGTCAAACTCCTATATTATTTTCATTTGTCGTTTATTGCAAAAATAAATTTTGTTTTTTGTAATTTTTCCCTACTAATTTTTTCTTTTTATCTCTAACATTTCCTTATTTGCCATTGTTATTTTATAAATTTTCTTTGTTTAGATTGCTAATTATATGTTAAAGCAAGTAAAATCTTATGCACTGTCAAGTTTCACTCGTTGTTCGAGTAGTTATATTAGGTATAAATTTTATCAATTTTATCATTTCTCTTATTTGGCACTGCATAAGGCGTGCTTTTTACTGGGAGGATAGCATGCAGCAGGGTGTAGAAGCATAAGACAATGAGAAATTATAATTAATATCATTGAATTACTGAGGGGTGAGGCGAGGTGAAAGGAAGTGGAAGAGGGGAACGAAAAGCAAATGGAATAGTCTTGTCGGTGCAGTACTAAATTTTATTTAGTATAATAGGCTTTTATATGAAATTGTAGATATTTCTATGTTAAATATTAGAAAAATTATTTAAATTTTTGGACCAAATAAAAAATAAAAGTTTTTCTTCTGAAGATTTAATAAAAATATGTTTTTGCATTTTTCAAAAAAGTTGCTTTATTTTTTATTACAGGGAAAAAATATTTACAGAAAAGTAAGAATTTTGGAGAAATGGTCGAACGAGGATGATCTTACTGATCAGTTTAGCAATGCAAAATTCGCTTTAATGGTCAATCGCAAACCTCTTGTTTCCATAAGTTCACGAAACATTTCTCTTCGGATTTTGCAATCATCCGGTTTATCGTTTTTGCTTTAAAAATACTATTTTGTGATATCAAAAGACTCTCTTATTTCTTTTTGCTTTTATATTGTTTCATAACTCTTTATCTCTTTAATTTATCATTTAAAAAGGTGCAATGAAAAATTAAGAAAATATTTTAAAATATTTTGAATTAACTGTTTATGTATTGTTGTTAATTTCAGAAATTAATGTTTTGGAAAAACATGGATTTACCGTCAAATCTGAAGATTCTGTTCTCTTAGATGCAGAAGAAGATTCTCTTGGTAGCTTCGTGAGTGTTTCCATTTTAATTCCTTTTTCAATTATTTGGATAATAAAGTGGATCTGAATTTGAAATTTCTTGTTCTTCTACTAACATATCATCAGGTTAGGCTAACTTCAACAAGGGAGTGCCCGCTCGATCCTTTGGCATTTGAGATTTAAAAAAGTCACTCGTTTTTCCATCGTCTAAGCCCATATATCGCTGAGGCGATTCAAAAACAAAAATTCTTGGAAAATATCTGAGTCTTGTATCAGTCTTAATTGGCCTTCTTCATTTTTTACTCTATCCATAATACGATTTAACAACTAGCAGAATATGCATAATCAGCCTAGGCGACTTTCTTTGAGAATACTATATAATATAATATTTATACTTATAATATTTGAACGAAAGTGGATCTATTAGATTTTTTTGTCAACTCAGCAAGCGCGCATAAAATATGTTTTAGGTGTGGGTGTTGTTCTTAATAGTTTCCACTCTCATTGGCCATATTTTGCAACTATATGATAGGTTGATATATATTGCAGCCAAATAAATGCGAAATTTTTTTTTTTGATGGTGATTTCAGATTCCATAGAGATTTCATTAAATGTAACAATGCATGGCTTTGGTTATTTTATCCTTATCTTTCGTGTGCCCATTTGGTATGGGATGGATCCACGATTTAAAATCCACCGTTTCCTCAAGTCTTTCTTGATGAAATGATTAAAATACGTATTTTTTCAGCCTTGGTATGTAAAAAAGGAAAAGGCTTTCGTCTTATTTGCATTGATCCTGGGCGGATTTTTTCTGTAGTTGTTTGCACATTATCTAGCACTTCTTGCATTTCATAACTACATGCAAAAAAAGGATGCCTCATTAGCGTATTCGAAATCGGTGATACTATATTATGCTCTAGACTGAATGATTTGTACAACTCTTGAGCAGGCAAGCGGTGTTGTTATCAAATCACCATATAGTTGAATATTGCAAAGAAAAGGGCGCAACCTTGACGGAAACCAGTTTTTATTTCGATAGGATCTATGAATCAGTTCTCCGTACACCCAAATTTGTGCCAATTTACGCTGGTAAAATGCTTTTGTGATCGGGTGGTCTAGAAGACCATCATACTCCATCCCTATCCAGAACGCTATTAATTTAATTTAACAGCAAAGTCAATGAAATAAATGTTATTTTGGTAAGCTGCAGATATTCGAAGCGATATTCCAACGCCTTAATATGAATATTTGGTCAGTACAGTTGTGTGAATCCAGTATGATTATTGTGCATCCTGTTGTCTCGTTCTGCCATAAATTCAGCAAAAAAAGCGAAAATTTTTCTTGGATGTGATTAAAAGGCTATTACGTAGAAAATTATCACAGTATATCTATCATTGCCATTTTTTTGCTCTAGTCGTTTTATATTAGTTTTCCAGTGCCTTGGCAGGGTATAGTGTTGGACGTTTGGTAACTTTCGTAGACCAACTTCTGCAAGAGCTTTATTAGCCTTAACCTTCTGAATGACCAAGATTATTTCTTGTTGGCTGCTCGCAATTGCTAATATGTGCCTGGATGAACGTTTCAGCTAGCTGTGTCTGGGATCGGGATCACGAATGACATATTCTAGTTAAGTCTAATTTCAAAGAATTCCCTCCACCGCAGATGGTCTTTCAGGATCTTGACAGGTGCATCATTATTTCATAGATGGTTTCGAATTATGGTTGAGTAGTTCATATGCAAAGCCATATCATTCCAATAGTTATTTCTGCCGTACTATTGTTGTTGTATTGTTGTTGTACCCTTGAAGCGCTTGGTAGCCGGAATCTTCTGATATTCGCTTTGGCATTTTTTTCGAATAGTTGGACAGTTACTTTTAATACCCAATTAGCGAATTTGCCTTTAGTTGAGGCCAGTATTCATCAGACGTTCCAGAGGTGCTATTTACATCATCGAAATATTCCGTTAATTATTTCGACTTGAAATGCATTTAATGTCCCAAAATCTGGTAGTTTGAGATAGTTAAAAGATTTGAAAGGATGCTGTTTATCAGTCTCACGAATTTTTTACAGATCCTGGAGCTATAATTTGGTCTGATCTGTGAAGATTGCCAGTTTTAGCACCACAGTAAGACCAACTATTTAATGCAGAACTCTTCCAGCGATGATTGGCCAGAATAGATCTGGTTATCTGGAGAGTTCCATGTGATTAGACGTCTTAGTTGCAGGAAGTATTGAAAGAAGAATCGGTAATAAAAAGTCCATGCACTTCGATAAAGCGAAGGCGCTTGCTATTCTGTATTGGTCAACTATTATTATTAATTATTATTAGTAAAGGAAAAAAAAAGTAAAACGAATAAATGAAGAGGAAAAGAAGGAAATAACCGCTTCCTATCAAATAATAATTAGAAATTCAGAAAATGAAATACAGTTTGGTTGAAATCCGCTCGCTAGCAAAATTTTTGTTGTTACTCTTTTCAATAATATTTTATAAAAGAGAAAATATATATGTAAAAATATAAATATAAAATATATATATATATATAAAATATAAGCAAGGAAAATTTTCGATTTCTTTTGAATTCAGAAAGCTATATTCGGATTGTCATTAGGCAATATGACTAGGCTGGACTCTATTACGGCTGTACCGATTGATAAAATCAGAGATTTGGCTAATTCTCTCGCTGGTAAGTTTATCGATTTAAGATGGGCAATGTTCACTCTTCCAGCAGAATATGATCGTAATTTGCTATCTAAGGTATTATTTAATTTTCTTATATTTTTTATTTTTTCTTGTTTGAATTCTTTGAGATTTATTGGTCAGTTTGGCTTTTTTTAACTTAAAAAATAAAAAAAATTTTAAATATAAAAAAAATTTTTGTCGCATAGTATATAGAGCCGACTGTGGAATTTTCGCATTAATAGCGTTTAGATGTATTCGTTAAGTGAGTGGAATCGAACATTTAAGCGATGCCCAAGATGTGCATCATTCCTTAGCAGATGTGCTGCCAAGACTTCTGCTGCTTGTGGTTATTGTCAATCAGTTTTTTATCCACCGGTCTATTTTTCACGATTTTTTAATGGTTTTTACTAAAATTTTCATTTTTTATTATCCGGGTAATCCTAATGCTGCTGGAATTCCTTTTATTAAACTCTCCACTCTCTGATCAATAAGTCCCATCTAATAACTAATGAAGCGAATCTAATAAGAAATGGCGAATATTATAGAAAAAAAAATTATTAAATGTCTGTTAATAAAAGTTATTATTAAATGTCTGTTATCTTTTATTAATTTCTTTCCAGCAGCATTTATTAATTTCTATCTTAATTTCCTATGGCTTTTTTCTTAAATCGATAAAAAAATGGTAGTTCTGCATATTTACAGATCGATTTAGTATTTAGTATTTGAGTATATAAATTTAGGTGAGATGAATCAACTCATTTCTTTCTCACTGAATCAAATGGCTATTTGGTTTTAACAGATTTATTAACTTTTCATCCTTTAATTTTATTTCAGATCAGTCCTGCTATAATTTGCTTGGTAACAAATAGAGAAAATAGCCATGCTTTACTTGTGCATCTTCCACGGTCTCCAAATACTGTTTATACATTAATTGCAGGATATGTACAAGTTAATATCTTTTAAAATTATTTGGTAACCATCTTTATTTCGTTTTTTTACTTATTATTTTCTAATTTCTTACTACTTTAGTGAAAAAATTTTGTCCAAAAATGCGCTTATAAATATAAGAAATTTTTAATTTAATGTAATTTAATGTTAGAATGGAGAATCACTGGTAGAAGCAGTTCGACGAGAAGTTGGTGAAGAAGCAGGTGTCGATTGCGATGAGATAGTTCAGTTAAACATGTCTCAATCTTGGCCTATTCAGAATAATTCCATCATGTGCGCATTTCGTGCAGTTGCCGATCCTAAGCAAAAGGTAAAGTAAATTTATTTTCAATTTTTTTTAAAATTTATATTATATTTGCAAATTTAAGTAAATTTGCAGCTTGATATTTGTAAAAATGAATTGTTGGCAGCAAACTGGTTCAGTCGTGAAGAGGTTCAATGGGCATTTGATAATACTACTCGAAATTTGAACCATATAAATGAAAGCATCCCACCCAAATTTCAGTTTATTTACGTTCCCCCGTACGGCGCACTATCTAATCGAATGATAAAACATTGGTTAGGAGAGAAACCTTGATTGTTTTTTTGCAATGATTCTTGATTGTTTTCATCGGCGATGATCTATTCTGTCTTTAGCACTCTGTAGCAATAATTTTTTAGATTACTGAAGGTAGTTCTTTTTTTTTTCAATAAGCTATCAAATGTAAAACACTTTGCTTTTTGTTTAATTTAGCCTTTTTAAATTTAGCCTTTGATGAATGATCGAATAAGTGAATTATTTATTGGCTCCTTCAAAAGGTTCACTCATTTTTTGTTGTATCTGGCTGATGTCATATATTACTAATGTGTCATATATTGTGGTGATCTCTAGTTTCTTTTCATTTAAGGCGGATAGCTACTTTTAATTTTTTTTTCTTTTTATTTAATCCATCAGATTGATTTTGACATGAAACTGCGTTATTTTCGATTTCTGGTGCTTCAAATATAAATTGAGACACCGTATAGGAAAAGATTTTATTGTTTAAAGGAAAAAAATTCCTACAAAACAATTAGAAATAATAATAAGTGGATAAATCAATTAAATCATGAACTTACATCTATCTTGTTTGAAATGAAATAGGAAATATAGTACATAATGCAGAGCCACATTCACCTCAAACCATTTTGTAAGGACCGCAGTGTTTGCGGTTTCAAGGCTGATCGTTTCAGATGATCCTTCAATCTTTTCTCTTATTTCAAAATTAATCTTTTGATCATGAGAATAATTGTATAAACAAAGCTTTTTTAAACAAAAATTTTTTTGATACAAAGCTTCTTTGTTATTGTGACCATAATTTGAATAATACGAAGCTTTTTTATTAAATGGATCACATTCATCAGTGGGACCACATTAGCTGTTCGCTGTTGATACGACACAAATATCTTTTTTTCTCGATATTTGTCGGATCAGTTTTTCCTTGCGATGGAAAATGGATTTTGTACGACAGGAAAAAGTACGCTAAATGGCTGGACAAAGAACCTCGAACCTCGATCCATGCCAAAAGCAAACCATTCAAATAAGGTATGGAATTGATGGACTGTAGATTTTAAAGACCTGGTGCTTTGATTACGGAATTGCGTAACAAATAACTGGATATAGAAATAAACATGGTATCGGCCAAGAAAAAACCTCGTGAAAAGAATGCTGTGTGACAGCTCTAGATCGCGTGTTTTGAGGATCACTGTTGGAATCTGCCTAGTTAAATATCTTCTTTCGTCATCCTAGTCAACAAAGTTCTCGAGTCAACAAACTTGCATTTCTTCTGCTGTTTCGGAAATGTTTCGGAGAGACCCAAAATAAAATATGAAAACGCTTTCCAACATTCACTGATTTCAGATGATTGGATTTTTATGCAAAAAATATATTTGTCTCTTTAGTAAAAAATGTGTTAGCGATGCTTATTTTGAATAAATCCACTTTTAAAAAATTGTAGTATTACAAAATAAGCGATACAAAATTGAACGAAAATTTTGAAAACCCATATTTTTTGTAATATTTTTTGTGTTTTTAATCGATGTTTCTTCAAAAGTGCACTGCCATTTTTATGTTTAAAAGGGTTGGCATGCCTTTCCTTAGAATGTTAAAATGTTGCATCTTTTATCTATAAGACAAAGCAAAAATGTTTCATCTCTTCATTTTTATATTGCTTTCATTTTTGAGTCCAAATGTCCGAAAAACCGAAAGAATTCATTATAAAAAAGACTCTTCCTGAACAAAGGACTCTTCACAAGGATGAGTCAGCTATTTAATATTCAAATCATAAGATTTATCATTTTTCCTTCTTTTGTATAAACATTCACATCTCCTAATTATAAGAAAAAAACTACCTTATTTACAAATTTTAGATACTCTTGAAAGGGAAAATAAAAATAATAAGAAAATAATAAGAACAAAAATGAAAGGAAATTGAGGCATTTATAAAATAGACAATAAAGGTGCCATTATATCAGGCGTGTGCACCGGTGATTTCGACACCAAATTTTTTGATAATATTTAGCACGGGTTTATAAATCTCTTTTGTAATTGGTCGAATTACTCCCGTTTCTTTAATACCATCTAAAAAAAGAAGGATAAGTATATATGAAAGTATGTAAGTAAATTGATTGATGGATTGATGCATTTAAGAAAGGGATTAACCATTAAGAATTATATCAGAAACGATTGCACAAGTATAGCCAACGGTTCTTGCCATTGCTGAGAGACCATTTGGTTCACCATATGCGACAAGATTGATTTCATGTCGCTTCTAAATTTATCAGATATAACTTATCCAGTGCCAGCAAACTGACAATATAACTGACTTTTTATTTCGAAATCAAAATATCGTCGTTTTCTTTGTAAAAACATATATCTTCAAGCAAAACGCTTACATTTATCCCTCCAGGAAATTGTGCGTGGATATCATGATTCAATATAACTAAATCTCTTTCATTTTGTTTATAAGAGAATTCTTTGGCTAAATATGGAACCAAAGTATCAATCGCCGTACCGTGTCCCTGTACAAATGTGTCTGAGAGCAAACCCAATCTAAAAACGAGAAAAAAGAATAGAAAAGCATCATTTCCCACAAAATTATCTTTAATTCTCCTTTTTTTCTCTTGAATTCCCATCGTTGGTTTTACTGTTTGATAAAAATTGCATGGACTCATTCTATAGATTTTCTTTTTCCAAAACTTTTCCAAAACTCATTAACAAATATATGGAATTAATAAAGGCGAAAAGAATGGTACAAAAAAAGATAAAAATAAAAAATACTTCAGTAAGATTTCAACTAGATGTGAATTATTTTTTCCCAGTCTTTGAAGTATCATATTCTTCAGAGAACTTGTTGATTCAGTACCCGGCAACCGCAATAAAAATGTCATAATTTCACTCTGAATATAGAAAAAATATTTTGGGAGATATGCTAGATGGTACAAAAAAAGATAAAAATAAAACTTAAGCCAAAAAAAAGTTAAAATGCTCAAACCCAAGCAAGGCCAAATTCTTCACTGAATATTTTGTTTGTTTGTGTACTGAGCAAACCAACTGCTTTCAAAGCTTTTACAGCTTCCACAAAACCCTAAACTTATAATTTATATATTGCATTTTCTGATAACTGAAAACAATTAACTAAATAATAACTTTATAACGAAGAGTTCCACGAATTAGAGTTTTGCATTCTTCAGCAATACCATAAACATCTGCATACTGCAAAGAATCACGATTTGGATAACCAATGAAATTAAATCCAGGCATAAAATTTATCGGATATAAGCTATCCAATACACCACAGTCTCCATCAATTTCAACGACTTGGCCATCTTTTAAATATCGTGCTCGATTCATCAGTGCTAAGAACATTCCTTTTGGACTCCAACTGAAATTTGATAAAAGTGAAATTATGCAATTTTTTCATCAATTACTACAAATATCTCTAAAACAGAAATGATAGGATAGGATAACTTTGGAAGAACACTTAAAATATCAAAAGTAAATCAGAAGGCTGCATCGAATAACTATGAGCAAAAAGCAAATTGTACCTGAATTTATAGCGTAAGGGATTGTCGGAAAATTCTGGAGCTGGCAAACCACCACAAAAACTTACGAAAGATTTGATCTAAAAAGAATATAAATTTGTCATGTAGCACGCTGAAGTGATATTTAAAAAACACAACCATTCTTACGATATGAAAATAAAGAATGAATCGAAATACTTTGCCGCCTCGTTGATGGATTTCGTCGATGCATTCCATAGCTAGCATATGATCAATTCCGGGGTCTAAACCTGCTTCATTCATAATGATGACATCGGACAGTTTAGCACTGAAAAAACCCATGTCAAAAAAATTACAGTTTGATAAAGTAAAGTTTAACTGTTTCATTACGCATTATGAAAACATACTGGCTATCGAGTGCCATCATTTCAGGACTTATATAACTACTCGTTATCATATTCACTCCATACTTTATGCATAATTCGGCTACTACTGGATGCAGTGTGTATGGCAAAAGCGAAATACATAAATCATAGTCTCTAAAATTTAAATACATTTTAAAAATAAAATGAATTAGACGGCGAATATATGCCCGGCAAAGTTAACGAATTCCGATGGCGGTGCCTACCCCATTCTATCTCGAAATGATTTTCGCATAAAAATTTCTAAACTACTTTACAATTGCTTTGCTAATACTTACTTGATGAGAAATTCAAATCTTTCTCGTTCTCTTAGAACGTCTACTATAACTGATTCAATGTTCGCTCCATATTTACAAAGACGCTGTGCATCTTTATCAAGTAGAGTGGCTAAAAAAGTAATTGAGTACTTTTCGATTGTCTGGTCCGCAACAAGATGAGTTTTTCCTTTCCATCTGTTTTCTCAATAAAATCGCCTTCCATTCTGCATAACTTTATCCAATAATTTTAAATGTGTATTCCCAGTATTAACAGGTTAAGGTGAATGAAGACCAGATAAAAGGAAAAAATCAGGGAAGCTCAAAAATGTGCAAAAAAAATTATTGAAAATCTGAAATAATGAGCCATTCGATATTGAAAAAATAAATAAGTAGAAATTAAGCTATTAAAATTCTTTGAACATTTAAAAAAAAAGTCCGACAGATAAAACAAAACCAAAGTAGCTGCTTAAAATGTTAACCAACTCATCAATTACCTTAAAGAAATGAATGTTCCTGAAAAAATGAAATTGCATTTTGGCAATATTTTATTTAATTCTGACTTAGAAACTGAGAGAACGAGTTTTTTAAGCATTTGCGAAGTACCTAAGCATAAGTACCTGCAATAGTATAAAGGGATAAGTTTTGAAATAAATTTATGAATAAATTTATAAAACTGGAAAGGAGCAATCTTACCAACTGTGAGCCTAATATCCTTTTGTTTCATCGAATAATAATTAGCAACTGGATCGGAAACCATTCCAGCACCAAGAAGTAAAACTCGCTTAACCATTTCAGGAAATACCGTAGTAACTGGCCTTCTGAAATTTGTTCTAAAAGGCAGAACTTCAAGACGAATGATAAATTGGATACCCATTGATGTTTTTAAGAATCAGGCGGGAATATTGCTTATAAAATTGAATCGAATTATGAGAATTTGCCATACTTGTATGCATTACTGCATGAACATTTATCGTCGAAAAAATAGACAGCACAACCGCGGACACACAGTGAAGACGGATCGGATTGTAAGGTTCTTCTTAATAGATTGTAGCAAATGCGGTGATTCTCAGTGTATAATTCACCATTTGGATGGATAAAGCAATGTTGAAAAACTAGTGATTTAAGAAATATAAAAGAGCATGAGGTTTAAAGGGATTAAAGCAAGGGTGTGAAGAAAAATAAAAGATGATTAAGTGCAACGGGGCTTGCAGTACATATTGGTTATATATGATAGCCTTAGGTTGCTTCTGGATTGTGTGCACGCCAATGAAGCACTGAGAAAGTAAATTGCCATAGATTCTTCATTAAAAAGTAAATAATTGATGAAAAATAGAATAGCTATTCGAGAGATGATAGGGAAATGCAAAATGAGATGTTATTACAAGTATCATCATTCTAGCACCATCATTCAAGAGCGTATTATAATGCTAATAGTAGTCACTTATCACTTATCAACTTTACGTCATCACGCCAATTGATACGTGATATAAAAGTAATTGAAAAAATATTGATATTAATATTGATTTTTATAGAATTTAACAGTTCTAAATTATAATAGTAATTTGATAAAGCCATTTCAAATATATGTTTTGAAGTCATTAAAGATTTAAAATTACAGCCGAATTATTACATAATAATTACTTTTTGGGAAAAAAGTGCAAAGTTTGTACTCACAGTTCACAAAATTAGAATTAAACTGAAAATGAAAGATAATGATAAAATAATAATACAAGGTAAAAGGTAATAATGAGTTGGTGATGAAAGGTGATCTTCGGAAGAAAGCGAAATGATTTTCTGGTAAAACAATACCTTCGTAAACGTAAACGTGTGATATATTCATAGCGCGGAGCTAACGCACCGTTATCCGTTATAATGGCTCGTTTAATTTCATCAGCACATTCGAGTTCATCCAACGGCCGATCTGTCGAACAATTTAACTGCAATTAGCCAATTATCATTTCGCGTTTTTATTAGAATATAGCAATCATCTAAATCAAAATTCATAATCGGTTAACAGCCAAAAACATATGATCGACTGAAATATGAACTTTGCAGAAAGTTGAAAATTAAAAAAAAACATTAAGCTATAAAATATAAATTGAGCAAATGCGAAAATCGAGGAATGAATTGAACATGGGACTTCGAACGCGCACGAAACCCAAGATTACAAGATGCTTAGGTTTAAATTTAAATATCAGATCTTCATTTATACTATTCAGTTTTAAAAATTTTTATATTAGAAAAATCTCGTACTAAATCAATGACATATGGGTAGAGAAGTTCTCCAAACTGTTCAGTGGCTTCGGATGGTAACTGTGCTGGCATATTGTCAATGTTGCATATAATGCATCCAGATTTTGCATCCAATCTATTATATGAACGATGAATTAGCAAATTAGCAAATAATTCCGCGAGAGGTTTAAAAATATTTAATTTTTAATTGCTAATCAATCTGGTTTATCGAAATCGACCAGGCAGCCAGTTTTTTTCAGATAACCAAGTTGAATAAAATGTTTTAATCATAATATTTTAATTAAAATACAATATCTATTTACCTACTGCATATTTCCCTCGAATTTATTTATTATAACAGTGACCTTTATGTCATTAAAAAAGAAAATTCGATTTTAGCAGTAATTTTGTCGTATTTTGGTAAAAAAGGAATTCATAAGAGAGTCAGTTTTACCTAATTTTAGATAACATTTGTGGCTATTAACGAATATAGCGCATATACCACTTTTCCGAACAACTAAAAATTTTCATTATAACCTGTCAGAACATTCGTTCGAATCAGCATCGTACAATGTAAATGGTTTATCAATGCTCGTACAAGTTTTCATGAATTCAATTGATCCATTTAGATCAGCTGAAATATCGCTGATTGCAATCAACCTGAAATTACGAATAAATAATATAAATAAGTAAATTGAGAAAAAACCTGGAGCATTTCACAGATTTATTATTAAAGAAATTATCTATGTGGAAGAGTGGGACATCCGGGTGCGTTATCATTGTTGGTTCTTTGCTGAAGAAGTTTTTTAGCATCCGATACAGTGATTAATCGAGGACTACCAGGGATCCAGTAAATTCCATTTATTATAACTGATGCATATGGAGCAATCTAAATAATTTTTGATATTTATATGCTAAATTAATAGAATACTTTCAAAGATATTAATTTCTTATCAAATATGTTTTGAGTAAAATACTACTGACACCTATGTATACAAATTTGTAAAAATGCAAAAAAAACAAACTTTATCTGCGAAATGTGAGATAAAACCTTCGGGGTGCTGCCGGAATTCGTCATAATCAAATATTCCACCTCGAAATAATTTTTTCATGAATTTAAGCAAAAAAAATAGATAAATGAAATAATTGTAAATAAAATGAAATTCCAGTATCCGATAGATATAAATAAAATTTAAGTAAAAAATCTAGGTTCTATTAAGATTTTTAAAGATTTTTTAAAAATCCATGCAAAATTTTTCAAAAACCATTTTTTGGGACGAGATGATCCTCTGGACCAACCACACAACCATAAAGTTTATTCATCTCTGAATATTTAATAGCGAATATTTAATGAATTTCACTTATTTTATGAATAGAAATTCAGTTTTTAATTGAATGTGAAAAATTTTTAAAAGGAAAAACAATGTAACGAAATGGTTAATAATGGAAAGGGAGCTTAATTTGATATAGTAAATAATGGAAAATTTCTTATGATTTGATTCGAGGTAGGAATTCGAGGTTTTTGGCTGAAGCATTTAAAAACTTACGCCCTTTGGCAGCAATTTCAGGAAGATTTTTACATTCGACATATTCATATGGGAGGTGGTGAAACAATTCTTGAGCACCTTGTGACACATTTCCTCTTCCCGTAAAGATGAAAATTAATGGGCCTAATGATCGAGGTAATTTATTTAAGGCAATTTCATAACCTGCTTCTCGAATTGCTTTAATAGCCATATAACTTTTGCTGTAATTATGTGCCAGGCCTATATGCTGCAAAAGACAAAAAATTATGATCAAACCTAAAAAGACGACTTAATCATAGAGATCTCATGATAAATAAATAAATATCTCAAAAAAAAGCTATGAAGTTTGCTCAGAATCATTAGGAATAGTAGATTCTATTAATCCATTAATCCAAGAGAAATCTAATTGTTTACAGTTTATAACATACGATAAAAGGAGTGTGGTGCCCGAGTGATAATAGTCGTAATCCGACTCCATGAAGAATATTGATGAATCCAGCATATCCAGCCCACTTACCAAACATAACTAACCTTTCACCCTTTGAATCGATGATTCGTTCATAATCAACCAAGCGTATCTTCTAAAAATCGTCTTACTTGATTATCTATCTATCTGTTCACCTTCGAAACATTAAATTCAAAACAAAATTTCATTGAACAATCTAAAACTTACTATTTGTGATAGCCTTTTTCATTGCTTTAAAGAACCAACCGTGAAAATCTTACTCTGGTTCTTTCAGCGAAATTGTGGAAAAACCTATGAAATTAAAATCAAATAAAACGTAAATACCTTTCGAAGAATTGCATCGAGCATTGGCATATTGTCTTCTTGACCCTTAATGGTATGCGAAAAAAAAGCGTAAGTTTTCTTGGGAATTAATTCATCTAAGGGTATCTAAAACATATATAAATATATGTACCTTTAACTCGCAACTATTTCCAAACCTATTTAAAATAAAAAACATGTTCTTCAATATTCATTTAAATGTTTAAATTCGTATGGAACTTCCAGTGACTCTTTTCCTCAATTTCTTGCATTTCTAATCATTCTTTCAAAAAAAAGATTAAATCCATGCGAATTTGCAAGTATATGATATTTATATGCATTTTTTCAATATCTTGTCTTCTTTTTTTTTTCTTCATTTCGTCGTATACTGATATTTGATTATCATATAAATCCAAAGTAAATCCAAAATAAATGCAAAAATTATCCATACTTGCTTGACAGCAATAATAAGTTGAGCCTCAGTTATATCTTCTTGGACAACTGCGCCGGCTGCAACATATTCCTGAATCGCAAAGGCACGTCGATTCGATGGCTGAATCAAAACCTTCACGCCTTGCTGAAATACTGTTCTGATTAGTGATCTTACTTTAACCTTTAGCACGCACCACCTGTGGTTTGCGTAATTTTACATTATTGTGGAAAACCTTTAGGAATGGAAGTGCAAACCTAGTAAATGAAATATTATCGGCATCAGATTATCTCTAAATGTCATATTATAAGCGTCATAGACTCGATTATTTTGCACTGAATGAAGTAAATCTTCCATTAAACCTAGTATCAGCCATCCAAATACCCTTGCCATGGGACAGATGGTGAAACTTACAATAGGTAACGCGATAGCTCCATTATAAAGATTTTAATGCTATCTTTTTATTATAGCTTCAATTTAGTGGATGAAAAACGAACGGTTTCAACAGCTGAAAATAAAAGTATCGAATACTTTGGTTAATTCTTTGACATGTAATGGAGCGAGTGGTGCTCGCCTTTCCCAAACATTTATGGATTCACGTCGAATAGCTATGCATTGTTCAACTTTCTCGGCGCACTGCGAGAACCGTCTCAACGAAAATCGCAAATTATACGTCTTTACAAAAACCATGCTGAAAAAATTTAACTTATAAATTATCAATTAACATAAAACCACATTTAAATACCACTTGATAAAGTTAAATTTAAAATATCATTTCTCGAATTTCGAATTTCGAATTTTCATTTCGAATTTTTCACTATTTCTGACTTGGCGACTTATATTAATCACTAAAATGGAATAATATCGACAGTGAGTAATCTCTGAATGTCTTATATAAACGTCACATAGACTCGACTAATTTTTAATGATTGGAGCACTTCTTCCATTTAAAGAATTATTAAAATGATGCAAATAAAATTAAGCAAACCGAAAATTGCGAGTGCTGCTAAAAGAAGAAGAAATACCTCATTTGCTAATATATTTAAAAATTTCTATAAAATCATTTATAAATCAATGAGCACAATGGGTGAACAAGAAATAACTTCGAAATTCAGAATTGCATAATTATAAATTAAAGTTGACTGGTGAATATTGGTTGTATAGTCGTCAGCAATAATGGTCACATCAAGTAATTTATTTTACCCGATTGGTTATAAGAAATTCATGAATATTATTGATTAGCCAAATGCTAAAAAATAAATAAATGTTTTGGACAAAACTTTATGAAATTGGAGAAACTGCTAATAAATATTAAGTTTTTTAAATACTAAGTATTTATTAAAAAAAGCAATAAATCATTGTCAACTATTGGTTCATACCGATTCTGGTTTGCCCGTGACCGCTGATTAAGGATGGCCACTCGTGAATAGAAAAATGAAGAAATTCTCTGTACGATTCGGATTACTTTTAATAAGGAATCCACTGTCGTTAAGAAAGAGTAAATGAACCCTTAGGCCTCAGTCGAAGCAATGTGACCCTATTCTATACTCTTTTGCTGTAAATATAATTTACTACAAGAACAAATTACGAAAATTCCGAATCCCAACTAAATTTAAATATTTTTATTAAATTTTCGATAATCAGTAGTATAACATTTATTAACACCTACCACACAAATTTGAATCTATTCAAAAAAATTTCGATAGAAAGACTGAAATAACTGCGAAATAAACTTTTCCAACATCTCGCACACATTAGGATCTTGCCAAAGCTCCTGACCCGTTGCATCCCGAAAGTAGCTGAAGCCATTTCTAATCTAATCTATCTGAGATATTGCTTTATCTGAGGCATATGTAAACCGATTATTAAAATAACTCCACACTATTAGAGCCGATCATGTTCTTAAAAATGTGGTTGTTACGATTTTTTTTCTTCCTGAGTTATAAGAATCATCACCGCGAAAGTCATTGTTCTTACACAAACCACGTTACTGAACGCAGAATTAGGAAGGTGGACAGGCAAACGTCAATAACAATTTTCATATAACATAAACTGTGATCGGTTATTGCTCGCCTCACTATGTTCCTAAGCATTCTGCTTCTGACATTTCTAGCCCACGCACCCATGGCCAATCTCGCTATCACATACAGCCAGGTGGCATTTGCCAGATTTTTTTTTTTTTAATTCTCTCCTCAACGTGAGAAATTAAGCCACTGTATATATAAATATATATATATTTATATTTATATTGTTATTAATATTTACTATTTTCAATGCCGCATATTTAACGTTTGTGCCATCTGGTGGCAGTTTGAGGTTTGCTTGACCTATTCGCCACGCAGTCACCTGGGAGATAGAGATAGAGGTGATATCTCAGCAGGATTTGACTTTACTCCTTTTTAGGCAAAGGAATAATTTTTGTGATCAAACCAATCAAAAAACTGAGCAAAAAATTTGAAAAAAAGATTTAAAAAGAAATTTTATGAAAGATTTAAAAAAGAAATAAATTCCAATTTTTACGGAAAGAAACAGTTTCGTAATTATGATAATTATCAAATTACTACACAAATTTTACGAAAAATTAAATTAATAAAAAAATTAAACACTAAAAATTGAAGTTTAAAATTAAATTAAATTCGATGAAAATTAAAATGCAAAATTAAACAAAGAGTACGGAAAACTTAATCGATTCAACTAATGCAATTCCAAAATTGCAAAAATTGAAAAGTTAATGAGTACCACACAGGCAGGTGGCAGGTTCTTTACGTAAGATTCTTGACCTTTGATTGATGGACTTCGATGCAAAAAGAAGAAAAATCAATCTATTTATTTCATTAAAGACGACTAAATATTTTATTTAACATTTGTTCATTTAAACAAATTATATAATGGAGAAAATAAGGAAAAGATCAGAAAAAATTTTCGATATTAAATTATATATTATTATTTTTATTTTTTATTAATTACTCAATATAATAAATCGAATAAATAAAATGATAAAAATAATAATATATATAATAATAATTTTTAATAATAATAATAATAATTTTTTATCAAAAATTTAAAGTTAAATTTCTCGCTTTCGTTTGAAATTCCATTGCTTTGGCTGAGACCAAATGAGTTCGATTCCACTTTCTTAAAGACAGGAAAGCTATTATTAAATGAAAAGCCGTTATTTCTGTCCCATTTCACAATGATTCCTAATGCAAAATCCAAGCAGGAAAGATAAGCAAAAATTGCTATTAAAAGAAGATATGCCAAACAGATTCGTTGATGCCAGTGGTCCAATAGTTCTTTCTAATTCGGGAAATCGGCATCTACTACAACATTAAAATCAAGATACGAAATTGTAAGCTATCCACTAGAGATCTCATCCATTTTCAGTTTCAGTCGCCTCAACCGATTATTATTTTTAACTTGATCTTTCACTGAAAAGATATGTTAATTTTAATTCACCAGCTTTTCTCTTTTTTCTCTCCATTTATTGAGGTGCAATATGCATGAGATCAATCAGATTATTAAATATTTGCATAATATTAAAATATTTGCATCGATGACATGCAGAAATATTCGCATGAAAGTGGAACTATAAACTACACTGAAAAGCCATTGATATATATTTTAAAAAATCATCCCATGTGGGTGATTATGATCATCCCCAGAAAACCTTGGGCCCTCTACCAGAAAGCTGGGAGATTGATGGTTTTACGCAGTCTGCACAGCTGTTCCTAATAGTGCGCTATGGAGAGAGATCTCTGATGCTGTTCCTGGAATCTGCTGAAGCCATTTTTCTAGTTTAGGGGTAACTGTTCTGAATGCTCATCACTGGAATTACTTTGGCCTTTACTGTCCATATCTTTTCTAGTTTCTCTTTCAGCTCATAGTATTTCTCCTACTTTTCATATTCCTTCTTTCTGACTTTGCTATACGGCGCTATATAGGTTCAACAAAATATTTCAGCTAAAATATTGTATTTTTTAAAATTTTCACCACTTTTATCACTATTCTTAATCACTATTCTTATTCTTCTACCACTATTCTTCTAACAAGTCCCACCATTGCTGGTTAGGCCAGTTTCGCAGGCTACAAGCTTTTCCGTAAGGCTTTTCCGATTTGGTCCGTCCATTGTCATCCCTTACTAGTCTTTTTTCCACCATCTAAATAGCAAGGAAAACAAAAGCCAATTTCCGCGATGGACCAAAAATCTTGCCAGTTTGAGCTAAGCTCTATGGCGATGATATAAATATTATTAAATGGATGCAAAAATGAAATTTTTGCAGCTTGGGAAAACCTCTTAGAAGTCAAAAATAAATACTTCGTGATAATATCATTTGCGATGGTTTTAGCAGCTTTATAACTTTTGATATACACTACAGCCAAATAGAAGAGAATCTTCATCTTGATGGTGATTTCGCGAAGATTCCATAGAAATTCCTCCAATATTTCTTCATCATTTTTCATTTCGCCACTTGGTGCAAGAGTAGATCCATGATGCTTAAACTCTGGCACTTCCTTAACCCGTAATGTATTGATAAGATTTAACATTTTAGGAGCACCTGGTGAATAAAACGAAAAAATTTTCGTCTTATTTACACTGGCCCTATTGATATACTTTCTGAATTAAATGATCTTCACTATGTAATATATCCAATTTTTAATCTATAATTTATGAATATATTTGCTTTTATTTTCATATTGTGACAGTTATATTCTTATTTTCTCCAGCAACTCCATTCGTAAGCAACTTAATGAAAGGCCACTCGAATGAGATCTAAAGTTAAGATTAAAGATAATTTCATTGTTAATTAAAAATGAAATTACTTCACGAAAAAAATATTTCTTTCAAAAATTCAAAAATTTTGTTATTTTAATTTATCCTGCACTTTTATTTCATTCTGCTATCTTTTTTATTTGGTGAAAAAAAACCTTTTTTATTTATTTGTGGAATGAATTTGTGAAAAATAAAGACATTTTATTAAAATTTTCTTCCATTTATACTTCGATTTTAGGTGTGCTTAACCTCCTAATTATTCGTTATATATATACAGCGAAAACCTAGATTCTCTATGATTGTCCATATCAGAAAAAATTTGCAAGATATTGGTTGGACCTTAGTGAAATACAGTTTTACTGTTAAAGAGATCTTGATATAACGAGACAGCTCGAGCTAAGGCTGTATTACATTTGGTGAGACTCCAAGATTGCCTTGAATGTTTTAGCATATTTTTTTGTTTAAAATTTTTTTTCAGCTTTGTTTGTATCTTGTATTTTTATTTCTTCATTTTGCATGATTTTTGTCTGGTGATTTCTTTTTCTAGCAGCTCTCAATTTATTTATTTATTTATTTATTGAAAACCAGCCAATCCGGGCACAAACGCCATGTGCTTGTGTTAATAACAACAGTTAAAATAACAAATAATAAGAATTAATGATAATAATAGAATAAGATAAAAAATTTAAAGATGAAATAAAGAGGAAATTGCAACATAATATAATATAGTACGATTCGAAAAATAGGATGGTAAAAAATCGCGATTTCACATTTTCTGCATGATGTGAATTTTTTAAATAATATCATAAATGATATCATCTATTTTTTTTTTAAAGATAGCTAAGGATGGCGCACAAGCTATATCGTTCGGTAGTTTATTCCAGTAATTAATATTATAATTAATATTAATATTAATAAAAAAATTATGAGTCCTTAGTTTAGTTTTATATATAGGTTTTAGTAATTTTAATAATAGTAATTAGATCTTGTTGGATTTTACCTAAAATTGTAATATTTTGAACAATTAACATAACCATATTTTATAAGTATAAATCAAATGTTTAATTCGATAAGAGAGGAAATCCATGTTGTAGTGTTTAAATTGTATTTTATAAATAAAATTGCTATTAGGATAGAGGCGACGTATAAAATATTTCTAGAGCCCTTCAATCCATGTTGTAGTGTTGTCCATAGGTAGTATTGTAGCCAAGAAGAGGCTTTGTATATTTTCATAACTGAAGACCTTCAGTTTTTTTCTTGAACGAATGAAAAATAAAATTTAGTGCCTTTGCGGATTTCTTAACCATGGTTCTGCAGTGAAAGTCGAAATCGAGATTTTCATCCACGATTATACCAAGATCGGAAATGTGTGAGATTCTACTAATTATATTACTATTAATAAAAAGATTAGCAAGATCGAATCCTTTAGAATTGAATATGAAGAAAGCAACATTTTTGAAAGGAAAGGATAATCTGCCTGTCATATAGCAGGTTAACAGGTTTTGTGCCAGGAATAGTGTTATTGACGAGTACGGCTTGGTGACGGTCTTTTCTATAATCTGACACCCAGTTATAAAGGGCCCCTGTAACGCCATAACTATTAAGAATGATCAGTAATTTGCTGTGGGACACAGTATCAAAAGCTTTAGCCAAATCTGTTTACTATTTTACCATTGTCAATTGATGCAGACCAATCGGAAAGATTTGCCAATATTTGTGAAGAAGTGGATTTTTTTGTACAAAAGCCATGCTGATAAGAAGATATAAAATTATTGGTATAAGATAAGTAATCAATTTCTTGCATATCAGCCTTTCGAGTATCTTGCTACCAACCCATGTTAGGCTAATAGGTCTATAATTAGAAAGATCATAGATGCTTCCTTTTTTATGAATGGGAATTATATGAGAAAACTTCCAAATTTTGGGATTAAAGCCAGATTTCATAACGTCTTTACAAATTAAAAATTTCCTCTTCCTCTTCTGTCGCGGTTCGCAGTTGCAAACGTAAGGCTCGATGAGCGAATCAACTATATTAGCACAACAGATGCATCGTGGTTAAGTTTGGCCTCAAAAAATTCTTTCCATTTTAGGAGATCCATAATAGCTTTAACAGGCGCCCCGTTAATATCCCATATCATTTCACTGACTCCTCGAATTATTGTTGCTTTGTGAAAAATGCGAAATGGTTTCCTATCTATAATCGAGCCGCCACATCCATTCTCAAGGCCATATCGTTCCAATAGCGATTTCTGTCCCTGAAGTGTTATTATCGTTGTAATTTTTCGAGGCATACGATAGTTAAGATTTCCTGACATTCAAGCTTTGGCAGCTTTTCCAGACAGTTGGACAATTGATTCCGACACCCAACTAACGCATTTCCTACTAGTGTATCCTAGCATGGAAGTGGATAACTTTTGTAAGTATGCCTTTATTTGGGAGCGGTATTCATCCGCAGTTCCAGACAATCGTTTCACTGAGGTTATCAATAATTCGATTTGAAATGCGCTTACTGTTTCCGGATCTTTTAGTTTGAGATAGTTGAAAGATCTTGGGATACGTTATCTGATATTGTACAATACAGAGATAGATTCTCTGTTAGGAATGGTTTAATATTAATATTAGTGTAAAAATCTATACAAATGTCCACGGACTCTAGTCCGTGTTCTTTAATATCTTCTTATATAATTATATTATTCTGAGAACTGTGGGATATTTATTATATTATTATTATACTGTTGTACTGTTGTGTTTTTCCTATTACCTGCCGTTCATTGCATAAATGTTCGTGTTACGGTTTCGTCTATAATACTTCGCTCGCTCCTCCGACATAATAATTTGACGATCGGGATAACGAATTGACCGAACAGGAAATTGGTAGTTAATCTAATTCGTGAACTTCTTTTTTCCTCGTCTTTCTTTTATTCGTCTGATAAACAACCGTTGGTTGTACAGATTTCGAAATGTGGCGACATTGCACAAAAATCTTCGTTTTCATTACTACAGATCCTATCACAGCAACAACGGATGTTCGATATTAATCAACAGCATCAGCAGAAATGATGAAAATATTCACAGAGCTACTGCAACAATCGAGAATTATATTCGGTATAGTATTAAGCTTTCCTTTGCCATTGCTACATCTCGACATTCCATTTTTATCCGAATGAAAATCATTCAATACGTAGTAACCACTACTCGGACTTCAAAAAATGCTAAAAAACTGGACGAGTCAACAAAGAATCACCTATTGTTCCGCAAGTTGAAAAAATAAAATGTGAAAAAATATTTGAATTTCATTTCATATGAAAAAATATTTGAATTTCATTTACCTGGAAATCCTGGAGATATATCTTTTAATGAAGCTATAGCAACGCTGGAATCATTATTTGCTCCACAGAAATCACTATTCAACAAGATATAGTGTTAAATCTAGGAAAGAAAAGGTGTGAAGAGTATATCGTCATTTTTGGAACAATAGTTAATAAAAAATGCAAGCAATTCAACTTTAATATTAAGGTTAAGCAAGACAGATGCTTAATTGCGGACTACATTAGCCACAGGGCACTGCTATTCGTGTCAAGCTACTACATAAAACCAAGCATGAACCGAATTCATCAGCTGATAAAGGAATGCAATTGGCACATTAACCTATTGCATGATGACAAAATGATTGAAAGACTAAGACTGTTCAGGCAATCAAACCCCACGGGCAAATCTCCAAATCGCCAATTGCCTTGTAATAAAAATTCCAGAAAACAGAAAGGTATATCAAGAGCACCATATTAGCTTTGCAGCGAAATGTGATTATCGAAATCATAAATGTTTGTTATGCAAACAAAAAGATTATAAAAGAGGATTTTCAGTTCAAATAATAGTAAAAACTCAAGAAAATATTCTTGAAGCAAACGGAAACCAAGAAGAACAATAAATTAAGTCGAGGGTGAAAATTGAAAAATTTAGTAAGGCTGTACACATTAGTAACAGCCAACAATTTGGAAGATTTGCGAAAGTTGAAATAAACGGGCATGCACTGACTTTCAAACTGATACCAGGTCCGCCTCCCATCCAAAAAGCCTTGGAAGGATCATAGAGAAATGTAAGCGACAACATGGTTAAAACAGATGGAGAATTCCGATGCCTTTTCCAAAATAAAAATTGTTATATCATGAAAGGAATGAATCGTCTCGGTTCACCAGAAACATTCAGCCTTTACGATGTCATTCAGATTTTGCCGAACATGATAGCCCATGTATCGCGTCACAAAATGGCAATATAAAATCAGACTCTGCAACAAGTCTGACAACGATTCCCGACTACCTGTAACTCATCTATCTGATGTTGCTCAAAAGCAAAAACAATACTTCGATTACAAACGGACGCAGAACCTATCTTCAAACCTCTTCAAACTATTTTGTCACAAATAAAAGCAGAATCAATATGTTCAAGAAAACTCTTCTAAAAATGTATGGGAAAAGGTCGTATCGGAAAATCTAGAAAAGTTCATAACAGAAGCACACCAAACGTCTCTCCTCTCAAATTATATCACACCAGCAGAAGAATTAATGAGAAGGAAGGAGAAATAAGAATTTCGCAAGATCTTTTCATCGAACAAAGGGCTCTTAAATAAGAAAATGGAAAGGCAGTGCAACTGAGATCGCGGTGCTATTAATCTTTTACACCTGGGTATCAACATGTCTGTGCAAAACAATACCAAAACCAGCGAGAAAGTCGGGAACCAGCAAAAATAGTTCGGATCGGAAGAAGGTCGAACAAGGTCGAAAACGGTAGCAGATAACCATACACGGCATGCAAATCAGCTTCACAGCCGAACAGCCAGTCACCGTAAGGATACCTTAAACACCCTTTTAGATACTTTTAATCTTCTCGCAAATGATACGCCTAAACCTGGATAGAAGTATGAATAAAGCATCAGTCGAGTCGCATCTAATCCACAACGATCAGCCAGAATTCGAAGACCGCCAAACAGAATCGCAAATCTCGATTTAATCCTTTCTTTTCCTTATCCTTTTTATCCTTTTTTATTCTTTTCCTTTTTTATATCCTTATCCTTTTTCCTATCCTTATCCTATCCTTATATCCTTTATATCCTTTATCCTTTTTATCCTTGTCCTTTCCTTTATCCTTTTGATGAGTGATATCCTTTTTATCTTTGTCCTTTCCTTTATCCTTTTGATGAGTGATATCCTTTTTTGTTTAGAGGGGAGATACTGTCCGGTCAGAATATAGATGTATATAAATATAGATGTCGATGGTCGCTTGTGGTCCGCGTACCTTCTTTCTCTATCATTTGGGGCTATTATATTATCATTGTATTATTGTGTCGTCGTTGTTTACTTCTCGTGCGTCGCATAAACTTTTGTGTTACGGTTTTCTTCTACAACATTACGCTCTCGTCTTCGACATAATGTTACAGTTGCTTCATGGAAAAGGTGGAACAATTTCCTACTGTCACTTACTCAAGCAGCCACTTCCATAATGAAGGCCGTATCAAGAGCGCTTTCGGACTTGCTGTTGTTGCATGTCCAGTAGCCAGGACTTCCTACGTGCTTAGGCAGCTTTTTCAGACAGCTGAACAGTTAATTCCAGCACCCACGCAGCTATCTGATAATTTTCCAGTTCAAATTATAATGACACTATTAATATGAATTCACTTTAAATTGCAAATAATAATTCGAGTGTTTTTAAAATTAAAAAATGATTATTTTCGAATAATTTTAAATTGAATAAAATTATTTTTAAAATGCTGTGCACTGTGTTGAAAATGGTTTAAACAATACAATATAAAGAGATGCCAAAAGGTAAAAATAAAGATCGCCACACAGCAACAACCTGTTTGCAACGAAATTTTTGTCTTCGAACTTTCAAAGAGATTTCTTGTGATTTTGAGTTGCTAAATACTCTATCTTGAAAATTTTATCTCGAAACGATATTTTGCCGAGGGGTACTGTAGAATTGTAGGGAGTCTTAGCAAATTTAAAATTTGTAGCATTTTTTCTGGCTTTGTGGGTTTTGTTGGTGTGAATTGGCTTGCTTTTGGCTTTGGTGTTGCTTCTGGATTTTGTCACCGTCCTGCGGCTTTTGCGCCGATTTTGATGCTTATCGCTGCTTTTTTGAGGAACTTGTGAATTGAAACAAAAACTGTTGCGGAATAATCAGTGTTTAAAAAAAGAATTTCATGTCTATGAAGCTTTTTTAAATCTAATGTTTGAAAACAACCTTCTTCAAGTATATTCGGTATTTTTTGCCGATTAAAGTTTTTTGTTGATGAAGAACACGATTAACTGATAATAGCTGGTAATGTGATTAATTTTCCCTGTGGGGAATTGGTTCTTAGCTATTGCTACACCAAGAAGATATTTGGAAATGAGCCAATCGCAGAAGTTTGCAGAGTAACTGCGAATAATCTTTTAGCATTTTCGTTTTCACGTTTTAAGTCTGCTTTGAGCGATCTTTGATATTTTCACATAATTGGTCCATAATAAGACAGTTACCGTGGGAAATTTATATGCGTTATTCTCATCTGTTGTTTTTGATGCAAAAATACAAATTGCAAAAATGCAAAAAAAACATTTTTCATTGAGTTATGCGCATGTTAGAAATGGTCCCTTTGCTTTACCAGATTTTTAGGAGGATCCATGTCTTAAAAAAAAGGTTCAGAACCACTAATATAGCAAAATTCCTTAACGTGAAAAAATTCATATCGCTAGATCTTAAAATATGGCATATCGTTGCATTTTTTATCTTTTTCTCGTTAATTTTGTTCCAAAAATTTTTAGCTGATTTGGAGCATAAAGTATCGTTGAATTAGTAAGTGGGCAGTTTGTTAATCAGGAATTTCTTAATATGGTATGGCATTTTTTGTTTTTTAAATTATTTAATTTGTGATCGGAAAGTGAAATAAATCTGTAATATAAGTTTTTTATTTTGTTTTGAATTTATGTTTCAATTTTGAATTTGAAAATGTAGATTATGATGAATGTACTGATTGTAATTTTAATTTCTAAAGTTTAGATTTTAATTTCTAAAGATTTAATTTTTTTTGCTTTTTTTTTAATTTTTTTTAGCTTTTTCAATGATTTCTAAATGATTTTAGGTACTGCAATGCACTTAGTTAAAAAAATTATTGCAGGTCGATTCATTAGTAACGATTCGAACAAACAAAGTAATGACCAATCGTCTATTGGCTCGACGTCAAATGGTTTGTAAATATTCCTTACAGAAACATAAGTTTTACAAGATTTTCACTTTATTCATTTGGTAATAGATTCTATGATTTTAACTGAAAATGTTTCTTTTGTTTTTTATCTTTTATTTGACAAATTTTAGTTTGGTATTTTCTGTGTTGATTCGATTATTAGTTCGTTCATGGGAAGCTTACAGTATTATCAAAAATTTTGCGACTGTTATTAAAAAATTGAATTTTTTAAGGTTGTCGAAGTCCTTCACCCAAATAGAGCATCAGTGCCAAAGGCTGAAATCCGTGATAAATTGGCACAGATGTATAAAACAACGCCAGATTTAGTTTATACTTTTGGTTATCAAATTCAGTTTGGTGGTGGCAGAAGTAGAGGATTTGCTTTGATCTACGATACTGCCGATTTCGCCAAAAAATTTGAGCCTAAATATCGCCTTCTTAGAGTGAGAATTTTTATTGTGAAAAATTGTAGAGTGAGAATTTTTATTGTGAAAAATTGTAGAGTGAGAATGTGATTGAATTTTTTTAACATGTCTTTCATTTGAAACCTCTTAATTTCCTAACACATTTTTGAATAAAGAGTTCACAATTTACAACTGATTGAAGATAAAAATACTAAAATATTTCTATCAGCTGAACTATAAATGAATTGTAAGGTTGAAAATATATATAACATAAATTCAAAGACCCAAAAAAATTGCAATGCTCAAAAAATTTTTTTTCAGCAAACTGGTATAAAAGCAGAAAAATCTGGGCGTAAACAACGGAAAGAGCGAAAAAATAGGCAAAAGAAAGTACGCGGTACGAAAAAATCCAAGGTTGCAGCGGCAAAAAAATAAATTTTATTATAACAGTAATACACTGTTATTTAATTGATAAATTCATATGAGTGCTGCAATCTTGTTATTATATTAACAATGGTTACAACTCCAAGCTTATTTCTTCGAAGATGATAATGTTCCTTTGTTTAATTTGATAAAATTTAAATGTCCTTGTTTTTAGCATAAAATACATTGAATATCACAATAAATTTACTATTCTAGTATTGTATCGTAAATAGCTTGGTGAATTTTTGATGTTTATCTCGTTGTTCAAGGTCAAGCTCCATGCTTTGCAGAAGCTATTTCGTTGTACCATTAGGGAATAAAATTTATTTTGAGAAATATTAGTTAAAATATTTAAGTCTCAAATTGCGAGTTGAAGTGATCTAATTAGAAAGTGGAAGCAAACACATGTCGGCAAAGATGGTTTATCACCTCGACGATATTTTAAGATGTGAGTTGGTCAAATTTTTCTCTGCTTTTTTCCATTTACGGCTAGCGGTCAAGAAGAGGGAAGAATTTTGTAGAATGTTTTTGAAATAAAATTATTTATGAAAAGAAAAAAAGGTTTTCCAGTTGGTTTATTTGGGGTTTTCAGAATATAAGATAAGAGATAATTAGGAATAATTGAAGATTTGGATGGATTGCAGAAAGAAAAGAAAGTAAGCAGTGATTCAATAAATTGCCTTCGTCGTGAACGTGATTCCGTTATAAAACAGGTGATTTTTTCTTTTAAGTTTTCATTGTTGAAGAGGTAATTTATTTTAAAAAGTGGGTTTTAAATGTCAATTTTTGCAATGAAAGCTAAAGTTGAATTTGTGTTTTTAGATCCAACAGTTACAAGAAAAACTGGAGACGTTAGATAAAACTATAAGTAAAGAAGAAGAAATATGTGAAAGATTGCAGCAGACCATCGAGCGAGCTAATAATACTTACGACAAGGTTTTATGTTTTCTAGAATTTTTTAAATTTTTTTCATTTAGCCGTTTGGAATGATTACCATTAACATTTAAAGTAAAATCGTCATTTAATAAGCAGATTTATTGATAACTTTCCAAGTTGCAGCTTGTAGAATCATCACAGAGCCTCGTTGATTTCGTGAAAAAGGAATATGACGAAGTGAAGAAGACAGGCAGCCGTTCTGATCATTAAAATAATATAATTATTCTACGTATTTGTCTTTGTTTCGCGAATGTTCATTTGTTAATTAAACTTATTTTCTAAAGTTTATGATCAAATCCAGAACTTTGGAATTAAGTTGTATTATGAGGAAAAGAATTTACTTACCTTTTGCTGTGAAAACACTTATTTATCTTTTTTTGACTCATTTTTTCATCATTGTTTAACGTAGTGCTCTTTTATTTTATTGTAAAAACTTTATTAATACAACTTTGTATATAGTGAAGCAGTACCATATATTTCGCCGAATGAATGAATATTAAGTAATTAATTCGTTTTTCGATTTTGCTTTTAAATTTTTTTGCAAATCCAAGAAAAAATTTTTTTAAAATCCATTTTATCCGTTTTAATAATATTCATGTAGTGTTTATTTCTATAATATTAATAATGAATGTTTGATGTTTTGTTTAAGTTTTCGTCAAACGATCTTGTTGGAAGTTGGGAAATACCTAACTTTCATTGATATTAAAAAAATTTAGAAGTTATCCGACCCTCATAAGCAGAATTTTTCGAACAAATGATATTTTATTGAAGAAGTACCACGATAAATCTGCTTGATGCCATGAAATATATATGCAGAAGGTAGAGATTATCAGAATAAAATTGCTTATATGTTCGCTCAATGTGATTTAATTTTATTTGTTGTTCTAACCATATGATTAGCAAAGTCTAGAAAAAAGTTGACATAACTTTCGAAAAAAAGCAACTTCGATCCGTAATCGACTAATGGTTACAGAACTGGGGAACATCGAATATCCGGAATCGAAATTGCTTTTCTTGGATGGTCTTACCAGTCTTAAATTTGAATTGCTCTGTTGAATTGGTCACGAGTATTAGAGATGGTATGCGCTTGCAATCTTTCTGCACGCTAAGAACCATGTAAAATCCGTACCCATGTAAAATCTTTCCAAGGATGTCCTGTTACCTGCATAAAAAATCTTCCTGGAGATGTACCCTGCCTTGTCATTGTAATTCTTCCGAGGGGTATTTCTGAAATAAAAATTTTGTGGTTATAACATTTGAAGATTTGTATAAATATGAAAATAATTGCGCAGTGTAGAAAAGGCAGTCAATGAAATTTTGAACGAAAGCATTTCAAGGAATTTGTGAAAAAAGTACGAGAAATGTTAGGGATGTATAAAACTAATAGAATAGATGAATGGAAATAAAGGATTTGGTATGTATAAAAGATAGGAGAGAGATGTTGCTTATTCGTTGAACGCCAGCAATATCCTCGAAAATTTCTCGAGAAAATGTCAGCAATAAAAACACTCGATCAATAGGAAAGTGTAGGAGAGAGCTTTTAGCCATTTCTCTTCTCTTTAGCATAATTTTTTGTTTTCAGATTCGTTTGAGAATCCGCCTTCGCTAGAAACGTTATTGTGGACTTCCTTCCTCTGACTGAGCCGTTTTCGGCTTCTTCGATTAGACCTCCCTTCAGCAAGGTTCGCTTGCGAGATGCGATCCTGCAACCGCTCTGATTTCACTTTCAATGAGGTTTGCTATCGTTGAACGAAGCGAACTCACTCTGCTTGACTTTAGCCGAGCTCTTTAAGTCTGCCTGGCTTTATTATTGCTTATTCCAAATTATTATTAGTTAATGACAATCATTTTTGCCAAGTAAGCATGAATGCTTTCAGTGATATGCGATTACTTAATGGTTGCCTCACTGTAATTATTGTCATTGTAATGATAAAGCGGTCGAGATTAGCCATTTTACAAGCGAATGAGTAAGAATTGTTTATCGTTGATTTATTTAATTTATAACATATAATAGACACTCACTTACGAATTGTAATTGGGTAAATGGAATCCATCCAGTCGAAATTTTATTTATATCAGCCGTGTTAAATTTGTCTATTCTCCTTAGATCTGTTCCACTTTAATTTTTTTCCACTTCTGACGCGAATTGCATGAATTTTAGCGTAGAGAATTGGGCGATAATTCTTGGTGAAGAAATTCAAGAAATATTCAACGATGCAACAAAGCAGAGCGATATTATTGAGGTTTGCTGCTGGATGGACTTGCTGCTTCCACGCGAAATTCGAATATGATTTAAGCGGGTATTTCTGATAATAATAATCTTGCAGATGTATAAAAGCCATGCTCAAGCAGAGATATTCGATCCGCGTGTAGAACTTAAGCGAGCAAAACACAACATCGAAAGTTATCTGAAGCGAAGAGCCAAAGCCGCTTGGGTGAGCCACTTTCGCTTTTTAATTGTGAGCCCTCCGAGAGGGTTTTCATTTTAGATTCGAAGAGATTTTTCCAGGATGCAAAGATCTCATTAGAGTCACGGATACTGTCAAATTTAAGCGAAAATCAATTGAATGATCCATTATCGATGAATTTTATTCAATTTATGTCAGCCAAAACTGGTAGTGATTCAGCACGTGTATATGCACATGGCCACACTGGTCAAATTACTGAAGTAATGAATTCGATTAAAACCATTCTTTCACATTTCGAAATCATTAGTTTTTTGAAATGGCCTCTACCTTGCAATTCGTGGCAGTAACTTCTTTAAAAAACAATTTTAGTGAAATTTTTAAGTTTTTAAAAAGTTTTTTCGAAATTCAAAATTTAAATTCAAAAATTTCGTGAATTTTAATTGAAAATAATATTGAGTTGTGCAATCTAAAATTTTCATTTTCATTTTAAAACCCATTATATTTATGTGTAATATTTTCAAGGTAAACAGTACACATGTACTAAATCTGACAGCTAATGCGAATCTTTATGGTATTGGAACAAGTTCAGCGATGTCTGCGGTGCACATTCCTACACCTGTATACGATAGAAGTGAATTTGTTTTTCATGAAACAGTATTAATCTAGAAAATGTCGAAAGTCATGAAGTTGGAAATATTGCCAAATGTCTTCTATCCAAAATTGGCTATTTTTGCAACGTTCTCTGTGGTTTTTATATATATATATATATATATTTTAATTATCTTTTGGCAAACATGGAGATTAAACATTAAGGTTTTCCAAAAATATTGAATATTATTAATTATTTAAGATGTAGATGTTTTATTAAAAATTGATTGGTCAAATATCGACCAACTTTATCGTGCAAATCGCGAAGAAACTCGAGACCTTGCTTTCCAAATGTTTTGCTCAGAATCCGGATTTATGCGTTATTATCCAGGTTTGTTGCTTTTTAGAACAAATTAAATTTCAAAATCAGCATTTCTATTCAAGTTTCGTTTTCTTTTTCTCATCTAATATTTCTAATTTCTAATTAAGTAACATCATTAATATCATTAATTAAATATCAAAAAACAATAATCAAAATTTCTAGATCAAAATTTTCAGTTTTTAAAGGATTTTTGTTTCAGCAACACTATGGACGTGGGACAATAAAGGCGATGGACTGGATTTATTTGACTGCAGAAGCACTCCGTGGTGAATATTATTCCATAAACTCAAAATCTCATTTGTCACGGGTAGAGTGGGTGAATTAACGCATTCACAGGGAAAAAACTAAAATCAATATCAATATCAGATAAGACCACAAAGTCTCAAAAGACCTTGTCTGGGAATAATCTGGGGATTTTCATCGGATTCGCTGAAAATCGTCGTGTATTATATGGGCAAAATAAATAGCTTTACAACTTGTAATATGGTGATGGACTTCGTGTGAAATTGAATCGGAATGAATTTTCATAATTATTTTAGGTACATTAATGGTGCAACTTTATCAAAAAATGTTGTCATAATGGTTGATATGTCAGGATCGATGCTCGGTCAGCGATTTGAAATTGCTAAACAGACTGTCGAGGCAATTTTGGACACCTTATCTGACAATGATTTTTTCAATATTATGCCGGTATTACTTATTTTTTCAATATTTTTATTTCGAATGCGAAAAGTGCTGGGAATTTTCTATAAGTGGTTCTTCGATATTTTTTAATATCATGAATCTCGCAAATTTTCGAACAAAAATTCTGTAAAATTTTTATATGTTTTTTATAAATTTCTAAATTTCTGTTATATAAAATTTTTCCCTTTTCTCTTTTCTTCATCACTAATTTTTAAATTAATTTTTGTTTGTTGATCTCAAACAATTATTTCATTAAATCGTGCAATTTCAAAAAGCGCATGGCTTTTGCCAAATTCTTAAATAAATAAAATCGTTTCATTTATAATTTTTATATTTTTATTGTACAATTTTTTAAGCATATAAAACGGTAAATTGGTTTTTAAGAACATTTAAACTTTTTTTTCTTAACTTTTCTTAACTTTAGTTTATTGGTTGAATTTAAAGTAATTTTATAAAAGGGTTTGAAATTAACTTGTAAAACTTGTAAATTTTAATATAGAGTTCTTCATATTTAGTTTTCAAAAAATGTACGATTTCTCGATGAATGTGCTGAAAAAGCTGGCCTTGTACAAGCAACAGTACGAAATAAAAAAGTTAAAATCTTTCTTATTTCTTATATTTTAACGAATTCAGCGCGGCAACCTGAATCATTATTCTGAATCCTGGCTCTCCTATTTACATATATTTTATACTATATATATATTATATATTATATATTATATTATATATTTTATACTTTTATATTATATATTTTATACTTTTATATATATTTCATACTTTTATATATATTTTATTCACATATTTTATACAATGCACAATAATATAAGTTAGAACAGTTCAGCGGATTATTCTATTTTCAAGTGCTGATTTTTATTCGAGCAGGAGAAACCTGTCTTTCCGAGTGATGCTGGTGCCCCACATTTACCTACAGCTAAGCAATTTCTGTGGTATAATTTACAAGCCAGCTGAACGAGCTTAACCAGAAATACTTTAAAAAAAACGATAATATAAAGTTATTAAAATCGAAGAAATTCGGGCTTAAGATATTTTCTTCTTCTTCTAACAGTTCTCACCATTATTTATTAGGCTAGCTCCATTGGTGCAAGGACAAAGCATCTACAAGCTATTCGATTCGACGCTGGTAGCCATTGGTGACACTAGTAAAAGCCATTCCTTTCTCCACCGTCTAAATCCATATATCGCTGGTCCACCTGTACGTTTAAAATCTTTCCTTACTGTATTAGTATAGGTTTTGATTGGCTGGCCTTTTTGAAACCATTACAACTGCTATGGTGGGCGACAAAGAGCATGTCTTAAATAGCGAAGACGACGTTCTGTGATGGTACTATTAATGCAAATGGTATTTGAGCGAAGGATGCATAATTTATGTGTGACTTTATCCTTTCGGTGAACCCGTATATATATATATATATCTTAAGATATATCTTAAACATGAATGGTCAAAGGCAGATAGCTTAATATCCTGCGCTCCTGCGCTCTCAATGGCCAAGTGTCGCACCAATATAGCAAGAACGAGTGAACTGTGACATAAACATTCGTTTTCATAGTGATTTTGCGATGAGCCCAAAAAAGTTTCGTCAACTGGAAAAAAGCATTTCTAGCCTATCGTTTTCCTGGTTGTAACTTTTAAAGTCAGGCACTTCCTCAACTGGTTGTAATTTCATCGACCATTTGTAATTAGAGTGGTTCCAAACTTTTAAAGTCAGGCACTTCCTCAACTGGCAATGAAATAATAAAATAGGTATTTTATCACTTGTATATAATAATTAAAACGAAAATTTTATTTACATTGACCCCGAGTCCAATTTTTATCGACACACTGCTTAGCGTATCTTGTCAGCAAAATGGACTACATCATCAGTGTATTCAAGATTAAACATCTATCGAGTGCCGACAAGCGATTTCCATTATCCAGTCTACCGCATAGTTGAATATTGTAGGAGGAAGCACGTAGCTTTGATGGACACCACTTCTTATTTCGAAGAAGTCTGTCAGTTCTCCATATACACAGACATGTGCCGATGTACGCTGATAAAACGTCTTTGTGAGCTGAATGATCTTCTCTGGAATACCATCACCTTTCAAAGCGCTTTTCTGTCATTTAAATTATTTTGGATAATTAATTAATAAATAGATAATTAATTAATAAAATCTAAAATAATTAATAAAATTTAATAAGAAAGTTTAAATTTAATTTAATAAGAAATTTAATAAATTAAGAAAGCTTATTAGAAATAAATGATTTTTTCTAGCTTTTCCACCAATGGTTTATGATTGTTTTTTCGTTTTCCTTATTAAAATTTTTTGTCAATAATATTAAATTTTTTCGAAATTTTTTTAAAAAAATTTCACGCAAAGTATTTGAGGATAAAATATGGTTGGTATTCCAGCAAAACTTTCTATTCATTTTATCTTATATTTATTACATTCCTATCCATTTTTGTCATTTCTTTTGTATTCTTTAAATTCTTTTATATTCTTTTAATATGTTATCTTTAAAATTCATTTAATATAGATTAGTTTTTTTTTTTTATTATCTGTTTTTTTTTGTCATCATGAAATTTTCAAACATTCTTCTTGAGGATTATGGGTTCCTTTTCCGTGTAATGTTTTATCTGTGCTATTGCACTGATTTCTGTTGGTGATAAAAATAAAAATTTTTTCTCATTCACCAATGGTTTATTCACTCGCCCCAAAATCTGGTAACTCAAATGGTCCATAGCTTTTAAGGTTTTCTAAGGTTTCTTTTAGGTTTTAGATGTACTATCATTATCCGTCCATTTGTCTTTCTCTATCTAAAATTCTTATCTGTACATTTTTTAAAAGTGCCATAGTTTTTTGAAATTTTACGAAAAAATTAGTAAATATTATAGCAAAAATTCAAATTCAGATTCTACGAGCCCGTCTTAATTCTATGACATCAGAAGGAAAAGCTGAATATGAAAGAGGCTTGACAAGAGCTTTCGAAACACTTTTAATGGTAAGATTTCTTTATTAGTTGAAATTAATTTAGGCTAATTAAAACTCGTTTTTGATTAAAGTTAATTAATATTTGAATATGTAACACAGTTTTTCGTTTTATTCAGTAATTTATTAAAAGTTGTCCATTATTTTGCTTTTTAAGAGTTTTTGCGCATTTCTGCTTTGCTTGCTTTTCTTTTTTCGTTTAAAAACAAAAATTACGAAAGCTTTTTTAAGTTGCTTTTACTGCTCTTTTACTTGTATTTATTATTTTCAAGCGATAATCTAAAATTAAGTTCAATTAACGAAATGCAAAATATAATGAAATTTTGTTAAGTAATTTTGTTAATTATTCGTAAAATATTTTGAAATAAAAAGTGAAAGGTAAAAGTGGAAAATTTTGTGTAAATCAGTTGCCAGCGTCAGTAACGTTCACAACATCTGACGAATTAGCTGATCGAAAAGAGAATGGCGAAATACCCGAAGATGTTCATTATATTGCATCGCAAGATCACATACTCATTGTACCGAGTCATCTGTATCAAACAGTAAGTATGCATTGATCCGATCGATCAGTTCATATAAGTTTTTAAAGAATTCTGAGCTACTCATATCGTTATTTGCAAATGACGAAGACAATCCATATATGCATGTGCATGTTTATATCTTCTTTACGAACATTTTCACTTAAACCTAGAAGTGATGCATGTTGTCTTTAATAGAAGATCTTACTTGCTTGTTAAAATCTGTCAGGCTTACCAATCTATATAAATTTTGAAATTTTATTTGGTTCTAATAGGCCTCACTAAGGCGGAAGCTCAGTGGGTTATTGCTTGTATTTCGAAGATGCTGGGGTTCTATTCAACAAGAGCAAACTTACAAACTTATATTTCAAAAGTCCGGATGATATTGGCAATTCACGAACACTTCCCCAAATCTTCGACAAGTCTGCGGAAAAGATATTAGGATAAGATATTTATGCCAAAGAGTCGCTTAAGCATAGAACTACAGTAAGATTTTGTTGAAATTAAGGAAGAGATAGCAGTAGGACTTTTGATGTGATGAAGCAAGGTACCGCTTACCCATCCTTTCCTCTTCTATATTTGGTTTCATTAAAGTTTAAAGAAGTTAATAAAGAAAATAATCTTACCAAATGAATTAAAATTGAATTGTGAACTTTTTGATCATTGTCATATTTATACAATACCACTTATATTTGAACTTCTCTATGGACGTTGAAATTATTTCAAATGATTTTTAAACTATCGCATTTTTTCATGTCTTCAAATATTCACATTTTTCCTAGAGAATTATAGCATGTTTATTTCAAATCAAGAGAGAATTCAGCTTTTGATTTCTCTTAGAATAGTGTATTTTCTTAATTTTTTATAGATACACAATTATTCATCAAAACGCGGACATTTTGGATGCAACGACGTGTTAATGCTGATAACGGATGGAGCTCCAGCATATTATAAAGAAATATTCCAACTTTATAATAAAAACAAAAGTGTTAGTTTAATTTCAAATGATTATGATTAAATAATTGATAATAGCAATTCAAACATTGCAAAAAAAACAATGAAATCATAATTTTTTTTAAGATTTATTTATTTCGAAATTGTCAAATTCGAGATTCTTAACTTACGACTGATTTTTGTTATTCAAATCTTTCATTCATTCGTTTTTTCCATTTTTTTCCATTTTTTGGAAATTTTTCTGGGAAAATTTTTTTGATTCTCATCAATATTTTATAAAATACTTGCAAATTATCTATGGTCGTTTTCTTGGATTTTAGGTTTTTTGTAGAGAAAGAAAAAAGCTTTATTTATTTAAAAATCAGAAATCACTTGGAAGTAATGGATTTGTTCTTTATTTTAGTTCATTATTATTATTATCAAATAGGCGCAAAATTAACTTTAAATTTGCTGCTTTATTGCTTTCGTATGTTCACGTAATAAAGATGATTTTTTCACCTCTTTTCCTTTTGCGATAAATTTAAATAAATTAAATATCGATGTATTAGTTTTTAATTCACCAATCGAAAAATTGAAGAAAAATTTTTAAGGTACGATTTTTCTCATTTCTGATTGGTGAGGAGGCGACAGATATTGAACAAGTGAAATGGATGGCATGTGAAAATAAAGGTTTTATGGTTCATATAAGCAATCTTGCCGATGTTCAAGAAAAAGTTCAAGTAAAAAATATTTAGAAATCTTCCCTTCTTCTTCCACTAGTAGCCCGCATCATTACTGGTTTGTCTTGCTCGCTAGCGATGAAGACGAGGCGTTTCCAACTTTTCCGATCCAATGTCAGTCCTGAAAATGACTAAAATCACTCTTTTTCCTGCCGCCTAAACTCGTATATAGGTCGGGACTCCTATGCTTTCAAAATCTAATCCACACTCTTGAGGTCTTATATGGTCCGATAGCGAATTGCCTGGAGAACGAGAAACAATCTCCGTCGTCCAGAAACTTGGGCCAATAAAGCTACCGGAGAAGTTGTTTTTCGGGTCGAACTCTTCATATGTTGTTCGAAGCCCTTCATATCATACTTTTAACAAATATGATGTCTGGCATGGAAGAAAGAAACAATACCAGATGACTGAAGCAAAGCAATTCTCCGAATTTCAAGAAAGGAACACTGTGAAAATTATGGAGAAATCAACCTACTAAAC